ACTTAGCGTAACATCTTCTAGTCCATCCATGTCGTCTCAAATGGCATGACCTCCTTTTTTGTTATGGCTGAGTTGTATTCCATTGTGTGTATACACTGTATCTTTCTTACCATTTGTCTATTGATGGACACTTAGGTTGCTTCCATATCTTGGCTGTTGTAAATAATGTTGCAATAAACGTAGGTATGTATATATCTTTTCAAATTAATGTTTTCATTTTCTTTGGGTAAATATCCAGTAGTGGGATTATTGGATCATATGGTATTTCTATTTTTAATTTTTTTAGGCACTTCCATACAGTTTTCCGCCGTACCTGCACCAGTTTACATTCTCACAAGCAGTGCATGAGGGTTCCTTTTTTTCCACACCCTTGCCATTATCTCTTGTCTCATTATTTCTTATCTTTGCTTTTAACCATTCTAACAGATTTAAGGTGATATCTCATTGTGGCTTTGATTTGCATTGTGTGGCTTTATTTCTAGGTTCTTGATTCTGTTCTACCAATGTATTTGTCTGATTTATGCAAATACTATACTGTATTACTGCCATTTTGTGTAATATACTTTGAAATCACGGAGTATGATACCTCCAGCTTTGTTCTTCCTTTTCTTTTTTTTAATTTTTTAAAAAAATTTTAATGTTTTATTTATTTATGAGAGAGGGAGAGACAGCGTGAGCAGGGGAGGGTCAGAGAGAGAGGGAGATACAGAATCTGAAGCAGGCTCCAGGCTCTGAGCTAGCTGTCAGCACAGAGCCCGACATGGGGCTCGAACCCATGAACCGTGAGATCATGACCTGAGCCGAAATCAGACACTTAACCGACTGAACCACCCAGGCGCCCCTTGTTCTTCTTTTTCAAGATCGCTTTGGCTATTCGAGGTCTTTGGTGGTTCCATAGAAATTTTAGGATTATTTCATCTAATTCTGTAAAAACGTCATTGGTATTTTGATGAGGATTGCACTGAATCTATAGATTGCTTTGGGTAATATGGGAATTTTAACAGTATTGTTTATTCTAATCCATGACCACAGAATATCTTTCCTTTTATTTGTGTGTTCAGTTTCTTTCATTAAATACTTGTAATTTTCAGTGTACAGGTCTTCTACATCCTTATTAAATTTATTCCTAGGTATTAATTTTTCTTTTTGATGAAACTGTAAATGGGATTGTTTTCTTAATTTATCTTTCTGATAGTTTGTTATTAGTGTATGGAAATGTAACAGATTTCTGCATATTAATTTTGTATGCTGTAACTTTACTGAATTTGTTTATTCCAGCAGTTTTTTTTGATAGTATCTTTAGAGTTTGACTATACATGTATATATGTTGTCATGTATATATGTCAGCTACAAATAGTGACAGTTTTTACTTATTCTTTTGTGATTCGAATGCCTTTCTTTTCTCTTGCTTAATTGTCATGGCTAGGATTTCTAGTACTTTGTGAAATAAAAATGGTGACATCATTGTATTGTTCCTCATCTTAGAGGAAAAGCTTTCAACTTTTCATTGTTGAGTATGATTATTAGCTGTGGGCTTGTCATTGGTGGCCTTTAATATATGGAGGTATCTTCCCTATGTAGCCACTTTGTGGAGAGTTTGTATCATAAATGTATGTTGAATTTTGCCAAATGCTTTCACTGCATCTGGTGAGATGATTGTATGATTATCCTTCATTGTGTTAATGTGGTTATACTGATTTGCAAAAGTTGAACCATCCCTACATCTCTGGAATAAATCTCACTTGATCCTGATGTATGATCCTTTTAATGTATTGCTGAATTCAGTTTGCTGATATTTTTTGAAGAATTTTGCATCAGTGCTTATCATGGATATTGACTTGTAATTTTTTTAATAGTGTCTTTGGTTTTGATAACAGGTAATGCTGGCCTTATAAAAGGAGTCCTCTCCTCTCCAATTTTTGGAGCAGTTTGAGGACTGGTATTAATTCTTCTTTGAATGTTTGGTGTGATTCACTAGTGAAACCATCTGGTCCTGGACTTAGTTCGTTGAGAGTTCCTAGATTATTTTATCTCCTTACTAGTAGTCAGCCAGTTCGGATTTTGTTCCTTTATGATTCAGTCTTAGTAGGTTGTATGTTTGTAGGAATGTATCCATTTCTTCTGCTTTGTCTAATTTGTTGGCATGTAATTGTTCATAGTAGTGTTTTATAATCCATTGTATTTCTGTGGTATCAATTGTAATATATATCTCTGATTTCTGATTTTGAGTCCTCCTTTTTTCTTGATGTATCTAGCTAAAGGTTTGTCAATATTGTTCATCTTTTCAAAGAACCAGCTCTTAGTTTTGTTTTGTTTTGTTTTCTTTTTAGTTTCTATTTTATTTATTCCTTTATTCTTTGAGGTATAAAGTTAATGTTTGAGGGTTTTTTGTTTGTTTCCTGAGGTAGGCATTTATCACAGTGAATTCTCCTCTTAGAACTGCTTTTGTTGCTTCCCACATATTTTGGTATGTTCTTTTTCCATTTTCATTTATCTCAAAGTTTTTTATTTTCTCCTTTGATTTCTTCTTTGACCCATTGGTTGTTCAGTTTAATCTCTATGGCAACATGTATTGGCATGTTGTTTAACCTCTCTGTATTTATGAATGTTCCAGTTTTCTTCTTGTAATTGATTTCTAGTTTTATACCATTGTGGTTGGAAAAGGTGCTTAATATGATTCCAGTCTTCTTAAATTTATTGTGACTTGCTTCGTAGCTTAACATGTTATCTACCCTGGAAAATGTTCCATGTGCTCTTGAAATAAATCTATTCTGCTGGCTTTGGATGGAATGTTCTCTATGTATCTGTTAGGCCCATCTGTCTAATGTGTGTTTCCTTGTTGATTTTATGCCTGACTTATTCATTAATGTAGGTAGGGTGTTTAAGTCACCTACAATTACTGTTACTATCAATTTCTCTATGTTTATTAATATTTGCCTGGTGTATTTAGGTGCTCCTATGTTGGGTGCATAGACAATGCCCTTTGTCTTCTGCTACAGTCTTTGTTTTAAAGTCTGTTTTGTCTGATATAAAGTATTGCTACCTCGTCTTTTTTTCACTTCCATTTGCATGGAATATCTTTTTCAGTCCCTTCCCTTTTGGTTTGTATGTGGCTCTAGGTCTGAGTGAGTCGCTTATAGGCAGCATATGGATGGGTCTTGTTTTTTTATACATTCAGTCATCCTGTGCCTTTTATTGGAGCATTTTATCCATTTATATTTAAAGTAATTATTGATAGCTGTGTACTTACTGCCATTTTTAAAATTGTTTTTTTGGTTAATTTTGTAGTTCTCCTCGGTTCCTTCCTTCTCTTGCTCTCTTTTGTTGTGGTTTGATGGTTTTCTCCTTTCTCTTACTTTTTGTGTATCACAGGTGTTTGATTTGTGATTGCCATCAGGTTTATATATAAAATCCTAAGTGTATAGCAGTCTATATTGATAGTCACTTCAGTGCTTTTTCAGAAGATATTTGAACTTAATTTTTACTCCCCCCCTCAAACTTTGGTGTATATGAAGTCATATTTTACATCTTTTATTGTGTGTATTCATTGGCTGATTTTTTGTGGATATAGTTGGTTTGTACTACTTTTGAGTTTTAACCTCCATATTGTCTCTATAAATGATTAATTTACTGTCTTTACTTTACTTTCACAGCTTGAACCTGTGAAATTTTTTCCTTTCATAATATTCTTACTCCTGACTCTTTCCATTCAAAGAATTCCTTTTAACATTTCTTATAAGGCTGGTTTAGTAGTGATGTTCTCCTTTAACTTTTTTCTGGAAAACTCTTTATCTCTCCTTATGCTCTGAAAGATAATTGTAGGGTTGATCATTCTTGGCAACAGATTTTTTCCTTTCAGCCCTTTACAGGCTGCAAAGTTTCTCCTAAAAAATCAGCTTGACAGCCTTATGGGATTTTACTTGTATGTAACTGTTTACTTTTGCTGCTTTTAAAATTCTCTTGATTGCTACTTTTTGCCATTTTAATTATTATGTGTCTTGGTGTAGACCTCCTTGGGTTAATCTTGTTAGGGGCTCTCTTTGCTGGTTGGACCTAGATGTCTGTTTCCTTCCCCAGATTAGGGATGTCTTCAGCTATTTACTTCTTCAGGTAAGTTTTCTGCTTCCTTTTCTCCTCTCTGGAATCCCTGTAATGTCAGTGTCATTATGCTTGATGATGTCACTGAATTCCTTTATTTTCATTTAAAATTTTTTTTCTTTTTGCAGTTCAGTTTGGGTGCTTTCCATAATTTTGTCTTCCAGATCACCGATCCATTCTTCTGGCTCCACTAATGGCTTTTAATTCCTTCTAGTGTATTTTTATTTCAGTTATTGAATTCTTTATCTCTGACTGGTTCTTTTTTTTTATATTTTCCATCTCTTTGCTGAAATTCTGAGTTCATCCTACTTGTCAGTGAGTAGGGCCAGTGATTAGTCTAGATGTCTGCAGTTAGCCCCTCTGCCACAGTTATGGGCTCTTGTCCATAACCAAAAGACTTGGTGTCTTTTGATTGGAGTATTTAGATTCTCCCAAGAATTTGGAAAATCCTCTACAGCAATACTACCCTGAACACCCTGTCTTAGCTGATCTGACACTAAGCAGGGTCAGGGCTGGTTGGTATTTGCTGGGAGGCCTCCTGGGAATACTGGGTGCTGCCATCTTAAAGGGGTATAGATTTCCAGAGCACTCAGCTGCCTTTGGTCCTGGGGTGGGAACTGACAGGCAAGTCTGGAACCTTTTATAGCAGTTTAACACAGTAATTTTATGTTATTTCCAATATATTTATTTTTGCTTTTATTGTTTTTAACAGTGTATCAGTCTGTGATTGGGTGGGGAAACTACTGGTCCTTGACCACCAGTAGTTGAGAACCGCTTAGAACATGTATGTAAGAAATGAAATCATCTGAACAACCAGTCTGATTGCAGCCCAGCTGCTTGTTTATGGGGAAAAAAAGACAGGCAATGTGGTTGTGAACACTTATTACCTGATTTACTCCTAGGTGTTACTGGGCCTCCGTGATACCAGTGATTCCATTGTGGCAATTACTCTTCATAGCCTAGCAGTGCTGGTGTCTTTACTTGGACCAGAGGTGGTTGTGGGAGGTGAAAGAACCAAAATCTTCAAACGTACTGCCCCAAGCTTTACAAAAATGGTGGATCTTTCCCCAGAAGGTAAGAATGATTAAAAGGTATAGCTTTTTATTGTTGTTTTAATGAGATTTTTAACATTATACAAATAGTGCAGGTAGGTTGTCGTCAGTGTGATGGTACAGACAACTAAAGAAAGTGTAATTTCCCTCTCCCAATTCCTTCCGGGTGTACAGGGTAGTCAATTTTAATAGTTTAGTGGAAATGTTTTCTTCCCTTTTTTTAGGCCCACAAAGATACACAGATGTCTGTGTGTATATACACACACACACCCATAAAGAGGATTTTTAAACAAAACAATGAGAAAATTGTTTTTTTCGTGTAGTGTCTTTTCAGGGACTGGCCTCCAGGTCAGTACACAGAAATGTCACCTTTTTTGACAGTTTTGCCTAATATTTTATTGAATATAATTCATTTAATGATTTCCCTATTGATGGATATTGCTTTCATTTCTGGATTTTTAACCACTACATTGCTGCAGTAGATATCCTTGTACCTGTAACTTTATGTAGTTTGCCTTTTATGGCTAGAGGATAAAGTCCCAGAAGTAGACTTACTGGATCAAAGAATGTATTTAAAATTTTAATGGATACTGTCTGTCAGCTTCTGAAACGGTTGTAGCAGCTCTTGACAACACTAGATGTTTAAGTTCTTTTGATTTTGATGACCTCTTAGGTAAATTAAGTACTTTTAAAAAATCCTTATTTCTGGTATATTCCCATTGGCACATAGCAATAATTGCTGGTTTTTATAGAATGTAAAAAGTCAAGAATAAAAATGTTATATCAATGTCATTTCTCCTTTGTTCCTTGGTATAACCCCAAATAGGGTGGTGACCTCGTTAGAAAACGCGAATCTCTGATTCAGTTCTCATGGATAGTGAATTAGATAGCATGGAAACAGTTACAGTAGAAAGGAACTCTGAGATAGACTTTTCTCTAATTCTCATGCCAGGAAAATTATTTTATATTTTCAAATTTATTTTTTAATTTAAATCCAAGTTAGTTAACCTATAGTGTAATAATGATTTCAGGATTAGAATTTAATGATTCATCACTTATATATAACACCCAGTGATCCCAGCAAGTCCGCTCCTTAATGCCCATCACCCATGTACCTCATCTCACCACCCAACACCCCATCAGCGACTCTCAGTTCTCTGTATTTAAAATCTCTTACGGTGTGTCTCCCTCTGTTTTTATTTTTCCTTCCCTTCCGCTATGTTCATCTGTTTTGATTCTTAAATTCCACAAGTGGAATCATATATTTGTCTTTCTCTGACATATTTCACTTAGCATAATATACTCTAGTTCTTTTTTTCTTTTTATTTTTTTCTGAGAGAGAGAGAGAGAGAGAGCAAGCGAGCGAGAGAGCGAGCGAGCATGAGCAGGGGAGGATCAGAGAGAGAGGGAGATACAGAATTTGAAACAGGCTCCGGGCTCTGAGCTGTCAGCACAGAGCCTGACGCGGGGCTCAAACCCACGAACCATGAGATCATGACCTGAGCCGAAGTGGGACGCTTAAGCGACTGAGCCACCCCGGTGCCCCATACCACATCTTCCTGATGCTTTCATCAGGCAGTGGACATTTGGGCTTTTTCCATATTTTGACTGTTGTCGATAATGCTGCTTATATAAACATTGGGATGCACATGCCCCTTCAAATCAGCAGTTTTGTTTCCTTTGGATAAATTACCTAGTAGTATAATTGCTGGGTCATACATACAAAATAAAAGTCCTACTTTTAATTTTTTGAGGAACTTCCACACTGTTTTCCAGAACGGCTGCACCAGTTTGCATTCCCACCAGTGGTGCAGGAGGGTTTCCCCTTTCTCCACATTCTTGCCAGCATCTGTTGTTTCCCTGAGTTGTTAATTTTTGCCATTTTGACAGGTGTGAGGTGGTATCTCATTATGGTTCCAGGAGAATTTTTAAAGCAACGCTGGCTTCCTGAAGTTTCGACAGGTCTTACTTTTCTTGGTGCTAATGAAATCATGGTCAGTCAGGAGCTTGAAGAGGGTGAAGATGAAGCTGCTCCCTCTGACCAGGATATGTTCATACTCTATCGAGTGAATGGAGTCTTTGTGTTACCAGTTTGTGTGTGTGTGTGTGTGTGTGTGTGTGTGTGTTAGCAGAGTACACCAAACAGCAAATGAGAGATTTATTTATAATTCGTAGCAGAGGAATTTGTTGGGGGAGGGAGGGTACACACAGTTTTGAGATAAGGGTGGGGGCGTCAGTCTCTGAGGGGCAACTTTGTTGCATGTTGAGTTAGCAAGAGTCCCCACTCAAATCTGTTTTATTAGATGCACTTTCCTAGTCCTGGACATTTTATTTACTGTTGACCTATAATCTTAGAAACCAAAAAGGCACCAAATCAGAAGTAACAGTTGAACTTTTATTAAATAGATTTTTCTGAAAACTTTCTGAGATAGTTCAAGGCCTAATCCTAGTGACTTCCCAAATTAGTTAAGCTCTTCATCCAAGATGGCTGCTGAGCCCTGGAGGCAGCCTGCATTTCTTTTCATTGTTTCCTGCATTTCAAGTTTATAGGTAAGAGTGGACCTTCTTCTGAAAGACATGGGGGAATGCTGGGAAGGGCACATCCACATGGGGCACCCCGGACGTTTTCTTTCTCCTCCTATTCCTTTGCAGTTTGCTATATGGTCAGACTTAAGAATATGGGACACTAGTGAGGTTTATGGAAAGGAAAGAGAACTGGAGAAGGGGACACTGGGTAGGAGACCCTGGTGGCCCTCGCAGGGAGGGTGGTGGCAGAAGCAAGCAAGAAGGTGCTGGGCTTGTAGAGGTCAGACCCTGCGGGGCCGGGCAAGCCTCAGAGTGGTGACTTACCCCAGACCCTCCTAGGAAACGGAAGTACTAAGCCAAAAATTGTGCTAGAATCCTTTTGACCAGTGTCCACTCTGGAGTATGAACTTTCAGGTAAACTGTTAACGACAACATTTTATTGAAACCGTTTTTTTCCCAGTTGGAAGTTAATTCTATAGCCTAAAATTTAACAATTTTAACTGTATAGTTTTGTAGCATTAAGCACATTCACATTGGTGTGCTTGTACTTTTAGACTTTTATTCTTAGAATCAATTACGGTTTTGTAATTAGGTCCTAAAGGTTCTGTCTAATCCAGCTTCTCAGCCAGTGCGTGAATCCTTTCGAGTCCCTTACCACCACATACTTAGCCCGCCCATAAACACCCAGGGGACAGGCCATCCCTTCTGCAGCAGGTGATTCTGCAGATATTTGAAGATGCTCTCCCTGTATACAACATCTCTTTTATCTGTGTTAAATATATCCATTTCCCTTAACTGTTGCTCACCTCCCCTGTCAGAGCAAGAAGCAATTTATTATCCCTTCTATTTGGGGAGTTTTATGTATCTTCAGATTGTCCCACACACTTCGTCTATAGCCGGCAGAGTCAGATGCACCGGTCTTGGAGAACCGTCCCCCCCACCCCCACACAGTCCCTAAATGTTTCTTTTCTGGCGACATGCCCAGCAGCAAGAAGCTATAATATAGAGAGATTGCTACAGTACTCTTACAGTAGCTTTTCCACTGTTTGGGTGAATGTTTTCCTGAGTATGAAGTTTTAAATTCTGAAAATTAAAGGCACTTTGGAAATAATGAGGCTGATTTCTCTTCTCACTTAGGACTTTGTAGTCAGCTGGGGTCTCATTGCTTTTCCTGGACTACAGGGCACATACTTACCATTTCTTTGTGACTGGTGAGGAGAGCTGGCGGACGTGTCAGTCACTGATGTGACTTTGGTGCATTTTCCAAATTGTATCCTGGGAGGACAGTTTTGTTAGATGGCAGTAGGTTTGCCACGAGAGAGAGTCATGTGGTTAAATCGGGAAGTGTCAGGAGTCGCGTCCAGCCACACTGCACAAGACTCCACAGCCTTGCCCACATTTAAGGAAATCTGTTTAAAATGAGGGTATGTCCAGTTGAGCACACACCACTGTTTGGGGGTGACGCTGCCTGGCTTAGAACATTTCTCTGTTTATAGACAATCATATCAGTAAACATGCTTGAATATTTGGGAAAGGATCAGATGCTCCAGTTGCTGCCTGGTGTGCTGCCTTCAAAGCTCAGTTTAGGCATTTGAGTAACTTACATCTTTGTCATGTTCTGCGGGGATTCTCTTGTAGCTACAATTTAGTAACCTGGATATTTCTAAGAAATGAAAGCCATACTGTGTGTGTTTGTGTGTTAACCTTTTCCTAAATATATTGCTTACTCCTAACATTTTATGAGGATAATTTTTGTACATATCCCCACAGGTGATCAATATTCTCAGCCTATTAAATTTCACATGAATGGACTCTCCAATGTGAAAAATACCTCAGGAGATAGTGAAAACTTCCCATCAAGTTCTAAAAAGTCCGAGGAGTGGCCTGACTGGAGCGAGCCAGAGGAGCCTGAAAACAAAGCTGTCAGCATACAGATTTGTCCTGCAGAACCCCACGATGCCTCCACGTCCCCGCTCTCTAACTTGAACGCGGAGGATGTGGCACGGGTTGACTTTGAGCCCAGCAGCTTAGATACTGAAACAGATGCAGGAGGAGTCCCCACTGTGAGGCCTGGGACCGCAGGGGGACATGAGGCCACTCCTGCCTTGTTTTCACTCACTGAAGAGTCCAAGCCTTTGAAACCCTGCCTGCACCAGAAGACAGGTCTTGCACCAAGTGGGGATGACCCAGACCAAACCAAGCCACCAAAAGTGTCACAAGAAAGACGCCTTAAGGCTCCATCAGAACTGGGTTTAGGAGAGGAGTTTACCATTCAAGTAAAAAAGAAGCCGGTACAAGATCCAGAGTTGGACTGGTTTGCAGATATGATCCCAGAAATTAAGCCTTCAGCTGCTATTCTCATTTTGCCTGAACTGAGGACAGAAATGATGGTTTCCAGCAAGGATGACGTCTCATCAGTGATGCAGTTTTCCTCAAAATTCGCTGCAGCAGAACTTACCGAGGTGAGGATTAGTAAATCGTGCTGCTAGGTGCTGCTAGTGTAAGGGTGCCCTTGTACATACGGGTTGCCTGGTCTCATTTATAACAAACCTGCTGTTTTCCCAGTGAGGGAAGAGACTAATGCACACAGCTGCTTAAGAGGAGGAGACGCTCAGTTCCTACACATGAGATCTTTCCTTCCCCAGAAGAATGTCCCGTGCTTAGTTAAGTGTTTAATGGGCCACTGGTTATTACCAGGATAACTTATTTAGAGAGGGATTAAGCCAAGAACAGGATGTCATCAGATTGATTTTCGATCGATATGGTCCTTGGGAAGTTAGTTATCTTTACAATGCTGCGGTTTTGTAATTCTGGAACCAAAGTAATCCTCCTCCCTTCAGCTTCCTGTCACAGTAAGTAGGCGAGTTTAGCACGAGGAAATCTATTCTGGCATCAAAAGGCAAGCGTCAGGCTCCTTTGAATTCAGAAATGACTGGTTTCAGCAGGCTGCCCTTGGTTTGCTTTATCTCGCTACAGGGAGAGGCCGAAGGCTGGGGAGACGAAGGGGAGCTGAACTGGGAAGATCATAACTGGTGACAACAGGTGAAACTTTAGGGCAAAGGATTTCTTAAAAAAAAAAAAAAAAAAAAAAAAAAATCAAACTAATACCTCAAAAGTAGGCTCTGCAGACCAGAAAACCAAAAAGCACCGTTTTTCCCGTCTGTGCCAACTGAAGTGTGAGCCCCCCCGAGTGGCGGCGGGCCCTGGCGGTGAGGAGGCTCCACGCTGGTTTGTGGAGGGGCCTGTGTGCATCTGCCTGAGGCCAGTTTCTGTGAAGAGCAAGTCGCCGTGGAAAGGTTGAATTGACTGATTTTTTTCCAGGACAATTCCAGAAGTAAAGAAAATAAATACAAAAATTCAAGCTGATTAGCTTAATTTTGTGCCATTTCTTTAACAGAAGAGTAAGCTTTATTATGAAATACAACTTACTGAAAAAGTTTTAGCTATAAAGTATATAAATGATTTTAGATTGCTGAGGTTTCCTTGGGCAGCTTATTTATTTGTTTACAGATGTACCATCTGAGGGGCCCCGTGGGGACCTGGGCAGTTCCGGACTGTTCCACATGTATCACGTTGTACCAAAGTTCTTCATGAGAAATATTCCCCCCTCGACCTGTTCTCTGTCCAATAAAGACTATTTTCACTAGATTCAACTTTACAAAAGTTGTTTTATATGTGTTAGGAAATGCACAGTTCCATCAATGCATTCATTTACAAACCAGAGAGCAGGCGGACAAAGGTGATACTCAGTGCTACCTAGTGGGAGGGGGTCCAGTCCGTTCCGAGGCCACCGGAGAGTACACGTCGTCTTAGGCTGTCCATCCTCTTTTGGAGCATCTCCAGTCTCACTGGAAGCCAGTCTGGAGCAGGAGACGTCTGGAGTAGCAGCTCCACTGCCTCCAAGGCCCCTGATGCTGCCTGCAGTGCTGACTCGCACGCGTCTGCCGCAGGGAGCTCACAACGGGCTCTTTTTGCACAAGGCTGGCAAATGAGAAAAGCCTGTGATAAGTGATACAGCGATACCCATCCCAAAGATGGTAAAGAACTTTCGTTCTGGAGTTCTAAACCTGTGTCAAAGTGTTATGTGCAAACTTTATTTAGTCATTGGTTCACAAGGGGAAGAGGGAACCACCACCCCTGCAATCTAGAAAAATATGGGAAGGAATTCCCATGAGTCCCGCTAACATTAGGGCCCAAGGAAACCAAGAGAAACGCCTGCCTCATCCAGTAATTTCCAGTAGGCATCTATGGAAATATCTTACAATCTGTCCTGACAAAAAAGCCCCAAGTATGAATTTTCTAAATGGTCCCAGTTTAGTTTTTACTGCTAAGTTTATAAATGAGAGCTGTGGTCTTTCAGAAGCTTTTAGAGCCACTTCAAGAAACTGTCAGGCTTTTGACATCACCGCACTGGGGTGTGGACTGGGGCCAAGACACCCTTTGTAATCATGGCCTTCCTAAGGAAAGTCATAATAAATTATGATTCTTAAATTTTTTAGTTTTAATTATTTTGAGAGAGAGAGAGAGAGAGAACACACATGCAGAGGAAGGACAAAGAGAGAACCCCAAGCAGGCTCCATAAGTCAGTGTGGAGCCCAATGTGGGGCCTGAATTCCTGAACCATGAGGTCGTTCATGACCTGAGCCGAAATCAAGAGTCAGACACTCGGCTGAGCCACCCAGGTGCCCCATGGTCAGAATAAATTATTGAGGGTTTATTTACACCGATATGTAACTGTTAGGTGTAAAATCTGTAAAAGTCTTTCTTGAAAACAAGTTATTAACAAACTTGCTTCTTTATAAAAGTTATAACTAAACTCACCAGAGTGCTATTTCTTATATGGATTGCAATTCTATATACACATATACGTCAGTGCTCAAAACAGTATTTTGAATATCCTTAGTGGTATCAGATTTCTGCCTTTTTATAGGTAGATATGCTTTCTAGACACTGCCAAGAATTATCAGGCTGGACTGACGAATTAGGCAAGGGATTAGCCTAAGCATTTTGGAAGGTCAGTTCATTGGTTTTCTGTGGTTCAGAAGCTACTACATTTGTTGCTTCACTGATACAAATACAGAACTTTCCCAAAAGTTACTATAAACAATTGAAAGTCCTATTGAAAGAGTAGTGATATTATGATGTTTAAAACCTATTTGTAGGGGCACCTGGGTGGCTCAGTTGGTTATGCATCTGACTCTTGGTTTCAGCTCAGGTTATGATTTCACGGTTCATGGGTTCAAACCCCACATGAGGCTCTGTGCGGACAGTGTGGAGCCTGCTAGGAATTCTCCCTCTCCCCCTCCCTCTCTGCCCCTCCCCTGCTTGTGTGACCTCTGTTCTCTCTCAAAGTAAGTAAAATTTAAAAAAACAAAACAAAAAAACCTTGTTGTTTCTGTGTGGTCTCACCTCTGTTCTATGTACTGATAACCTTTCAAAAAGAGGAAATATGATTGTTAAGAGAGCAGCTACTGTAAAACAGAATTTTACATTTCTAGATTTGATTATTACAATTTTTGTTTTTGAGAGAGAGAGTGCAAGTGGGAGAGGGACAGAGAGAAAGGGAGACACAGGATCTGAAGCAGGCTCCAAGCTCTGAGCTGTCAGCACAGAGCTGATGTGAGGCTCAAACCCACGAACTGTGAGATCATGACTTGAGCCAAAGCTGGTCACTTAACCGACTAAGCCACCCAGGCACCCTGATTTGATTACATTTTGATATTCAATAGGACAGGAACCATCTAGGTTTTTTTCTACTTTTATCAGTAAGAATTTCTCTTAAAGCTTGACTCATACTATAAAGTCCATACCTGTAAAGATGACCACTTTGCTTCTACAGCAACGTTAGCAAAGCGTTCCCAGAAAATAACTTTTTCCTGTTTCACACGTTCAACCCTGGAAGTCGCGGTTTCATCTGCAAACCCAGTCTGCCACAAATCGTGAAAAATCAAGTAAACACCAAGCATTCTCTGACAGAAAATGGTGTGATATTCAGAAAATGAGAAGATGCCGTGCGTGTGTATGTGTGTGTATGTGGTGTGTGTGTTTGTGTGTACAAGCACCCAGTATCAAACTATTCAGGCTTAGCCTGTGAGCTAGGCAAGTTTTGGAAGCTGGATTCGTCTGTAAATGTACCATCTTCATGTAATTTGGATAAAGTCACTGTCCAGTGTTCTCCTTCCCCCTACAGAAAAGCTGAACCTTCATTGTACAAGGTGAAAAACTGGCAAGAACAAGGTACACACACATACCTCACCAGCTTATATATAAGGTATATATACTTATATGTATACGTGCATATAAACATCCACATATGGCCAGTTAAATAATGGGCATGGTATTAAAAAATCAGTAGTTGAGCATAATTCACTTTCTCTGGTCTTCTAAATCTGTGGTTTAACTATTCTATTAGTGCTGCAATTAGCCCCTTACGCCCTAGAACTTCCCCCATATAAGTTCCAAGGTGAGCATAGACACGGGAGCCAAAATGACTCAACAGTTGGGTTCTAATTATTAAAAACAGCTTTAAAAATGCCACAGTTTAGAAAACAAAGTCTTTGTTGGTGCAGGAAAGCCATGTAAAGTTCTGTGTAAATGAGAGGGATAAACATGGCCTCTCAGGCAGTTCTCCACATGAATCTAGGCTAACATCCAGGGCCCTCCAGTCCCCTCCCTGCCTGAACTCAGCGCCCCCCCACCCCCACTGTGAGCACAGTGACCCAGCCTGGTCTGCGACCTGCCCTACCTGTTAACTGTGTCACCTCTGCACTGAGCACTATGAACAATTTAAGAAGGTACTTAACATGGTTACAACCAAAATTTTTAAAGATGACAAAATATGTGGTACCCTATTCTGATCTACATAAATACCTTCTCCAGAAAGGATACAACTTTGTTCTTGGTTTCTTCAGAACTGAGACACTGTGGAACTATGTCTTCATGATTTGTTCCCTATTAAAAGATTGATAAATGAGATCAATTTTAAAATATGTCAACAACTAGCAAAGACAAATACGTGAGTTTCAAAAGCTACTTTAATCAAGAATACATTTTTTATATTTTTTCTTTCATAGTTTATTGTCAAGTTGAACACCCAGTGCTCATTCCAACAAGTGCCCTCCTCCATGCCCATCAGCCCCCTTTCCCCGTCAGCCCTCAGTTTGTTCTCAGTATTCAAGAGTCTCTCATGGTTTGCCTTCCTCCCTCTCCCCAAGTATTTTTCCCCTTCTCCTCCCCCACGGTCTTCCATTAAGTTCCTCCTAATCCTCCTATACATGCAAATATATGGTATCTGTCCTCTGCCTGACTTATTTCGCTCAGCATAACACCCTCAAGGTCCATCCATGTGGCTACACATGGCCAGATTTCATTGTTTCTCATTGCCATGTAGTATTCCATGGTATAGATAAACCACATCTTCTTGATCCATTCATGGAAAGAGCCTAAGTGTCCATCAGTAATACATTTTAAAAGAAAACTGTCAGAGGACACTCAGAAGTCCGTCAGCTCACAGTCCTTTCAAGGCACCTCAGGACAATGCAGGTTCTGCACAAGCACAGCACTGTGAGCGTCAGTCACCTCTGCTCCATCTCTGGGCCCAGGCTTGACTGTACAGTGACAGGCAAGAGAGCAGCAGGCTCACCTTCTCCATGGACCTGAGCTCACAGGTCTGTGTTCGTCTCCCTAACTTCTACAATAATTTGAGATGAAGTGTGTTACTCATTTCAAACTGAAAAATACTGTCTGGATGACAGTGTCCAAGTTAGCAGACCTGGTCTGAATGCTCGGTTCTGTTGGTTACTGCCCCTGACCTTAGGAAAGTCCCTTTATTTCTCTATGCTTTATTTTTAGATCCTGCAAAATAGATCATTAGCAATATCTCCTCCAGTAGAAAATATTAATGACTAAGATCAAAAGTAGATCAATAAATGTTTCTGGAATGTTTTGGAATACCACAAATACTAAACTGTTTTGGAGGTCACTGTGATAGCCTGGTCTTATAATTACCTCGGCAAACTGAGTAAACGCCTCTAAGGTATGTTGTTCTAGTATCCAATTCCTGTCAGCTAGCAGTGAGGCAAAAATAGAAGACAGGTTGGGCAGAATTTTGTCCTAAAAAGAGAACCAAATATTATTAAATAGAGGAAAATCTCAATAGAGTACATTCATTATTTTGAGAGAGAGCATGAGTGAGCGAGCAGGGGAAGGGCAGTGAGGGTTGAGAGAGAATCCCAAGCAGGCTCCACACCGTCAGCACGGAACTCGATAAACCGTGAAATCACCAAGCTGTGAGATCATGACCTGAGCCGAAATCAAGAGTCGGATGCTTAACCAACTGCGCCATCCAGGTGCTCCAACGTTCATTATTCTTAAGGTTGTGAGGTTTCCATAATTCTGTCCCAGTGAGTACATATTAATCTGCATTAGGTCTTGTCACTCTTTTGCTCAAATGCTTCCAAGAGCTTCTCCTTTCCTTCAGAGTAAAAGTCAAAGTCCTTACAATGAAAGCCCCATTACCCATGTGTTAGCTCTACTGGCTTCCCTCAATATATCAGACATGCTCTCAAGAAGGATCAGGCTTGACTATTTCCCCTGCTTGCAGGACGCTTCCCCCAGATACCTGCATGGCTTGCTCTCTCAGCTTCGAGATTTTATTCACAGCTCACTTCGGTGAGGATGCCATTGACAATAACCCAATTAAAAATGTACCCCCACATACATTCTCTCTTCCCTATCCTTGCTTTCTTTCTCTCCAGAGCACCTACAATATTTCATATGCTACATCACTCCTTCTTAATTGCCTTCCAACAGGCTGAGGGTACATATTTATTAGTATGGTTCATTAATGAATCCCCAGTGATTAAAACAGCACCTGACACACAGCAAAAACTCAGCAATTTTTTTCTTGAATAAAATCCCAGGGATACCTGGGTGGCTCAGTCAGTTAAAAAGTCCAACTTTGGCTCAGGTCATGATTTCACAGCTTGTGAGTTCAAGTCCTGCGTCGGGTTCTGTGCTGACAGCTCAGAGCCTGGAGCCTGCTTCGGATTCTGTGTCTCCTCTCTCGGCCCCTCCCGTGCTCATGCTCTGTCTCTCTCTCCTTCTCTCTCAAAAAAATATAAACATTAAACAAAAAAAAGAATTAAAAAAAAAAATCTCATCTCCTGGCTTTAAAGGTTCTTATATGCTGATGAATCCACCAAATTTTTCAGGCCTTCGCTCTGGGGAATATATAACTTCTGCTAATAAATCATTTGTTCTACAGGGTCTGGGCCCATCAGGGTCCACAGCTATGCATGAATGAAACAGTGTTTCGGAATTTATTTTAGGCTAAAAAGAAGACAGCTCAAATGCAAGCATCTTTGTATACTTTTGTCCAGAGTTTAAAAGAAGCTGTCAACATCTACATTTCTCTCATGAAACATAACCTGGTATGATGAAAACACTATGATATCATTTACCTATGACCAAATAAGAGTCCTTTAGAAACTAGCCAGTTAAATGTTTTCATTTTAAAGATTTTAGTAGCTATTGAGATAACATCCATCATATTTTTGCTCTAATTACATGACAAGGTTCTCATCAGTGAGCTTTTTATAATCTCTCCCATGGAGGTGAAAAAGAAAAAAGCCAACTATCTAGATTGACCACAGTAATAAGAAAGGGAAAATTCAGTTTAGGAGGATAATCTTTCGCTGTGAGCTGTATTTGGAAATTAAGTAGTGTATTGCCAGGCCTGTTCAGTGTAATTTATAAGTAAATATCCATTTGTCAATTATATATACTTGGCAACATTTTCAAAAATAGTATGTTAAAAAACAAGTTCTTTTTCACGGATATAAAATGGAGAGTATATATAGCTTTGATAAATTACCCAAATTCCTCATTATATACTGTTCCCTATTAGACATAAATGTCTTCCTTCCTCGGGGGCATCGTGTGCTAAAGCTCCACTGGAACGAAGCTCTCAGACTACTGCCAACTCTAAGTAATCTGCATGTCAAAATATGTTTTTCTAAAAAGAAAAAAACTTAAAATGAGTTCCATTCTGACAAAGTCACCCTCTCTTCACAAAATACATTCCCCCCCGCAACTTTCACTGTCAACAGTCCACAGAATTTCAGACAGAAATCAGAAGTCTGAAGATTTTAGTAATTCTGACAGAGATTTTATGAACAAAAGAATTAAAGGAATTTGGGGGGGACAAAAGAGTGAAGAGTATTACCTGGAGACCTTGAGGTATAAAACATTTTCCCAGAGAAGATACAAAATCAAGCACTGCCAAACAAACATGGTCAGGAGGCTCTAATTTAAGCAGTGAGCTCTGCAAGGTTACTACCTAAAGTGGCAAAGACCAAAGAACAGTTATAAATGAAAACAAATAGTTTGTAGAGGCCTGATGAGTAAAATTTTGATGGGTGTGTAGGAGGGAAAACACAACAAAACCCAGAACAGCTGAACACTCTACAAACTCACAAGTGCAATTTGAATAAAACAAACAAATGGCTGACCCAATTATTACAGGGTTCATCCTACCAACTGCTGTAAGAAAAAAAGTTGTTCTGTATTTTAAATTCTAGTGAGGCAAGTTCATTATTTAAAGCAGGGATTGGCAAACTTTCTATGAAGGGCCAAGTGGTAAAAGTATTTTTTTGTACGTAGGCTTTTTTGTAGGCTTTGTAGGTAATATGTTCCCTGCTGCGTATTCTTTGTTTTTTATTTTTTATTTTTTATTTTGCAAACCTTTAACAATGTAAAAATCATCCTTAGCTCTTGTCCTATAACAGGAGAGAACCTCGCCAGGAAGCCATAGTTTGCCAGCCCCTAATTTAAAGGAACACAGAGATAAAGTGTCCTATAAAAGAAGTAACACCTAAATGAACAATTTACTTATGTTGAAATTTTAGAACTTTAGTTATTTGGGTTTTTTAACGTGAACACAATTCTATCAAAATTATCCATATTTGATTTTTCAAAAGACTATAAAAACCTTCAGAATCCACAAAGTCTGAGTCAATGATCTTACTGTATTCTCATTCTGTGTAATTTTGTTAATCCATGTTACACACATTATCGTAATTTAAAACTACAGCTAATTAGTACATATTTGTTAATACTCAGTTGTGAATGTGCACAATCCCTAACCAGGCTACTAAAACCAAGCGTTAGTAGTTCTGCTTTCCAGCATATACGGTCCTGTGACAGGGTATTATTTTTTCCATCCTCCTCCTAAACAAGAATAATTAGTTTTACCTCACAACTGTTTATTTCTTAACGTACCTATTAACTTAAGCCAGCTCTTTATTAGGGGATCAGTTCTGTCCAGGATGGACTAATTCCAAAGCCTCTAAGTCATTTCAGAGAAGATGAAGGCCTTTTGCCTTTTCCTCTCTGTATCAGCTTAGACAGTCCAAAAGCAGGCTATATCTAGGCAACATCAAAAGGATCACCCCAACAGTGACCTCACTCTGCCTGCCCCAGCCATGCAAGCTGGGAGCCAGAGAGAAAATTCAGTAGTCCTTTACTTCAAAATCATTTTTTTCAAAGAAACCATGAAGATTATCTTTAATTCCACATTGGTTACAGTCCGCATTCCCACAGCTGCTGAAATACTTTTGAACATGGCATGCACACAGAGTTCACACATGAACTATGCCTCCTGGCCTCAGGGATGCTCTAGGGCAGTTAAAGTTTGGACTATTTGGTATCAGGAAGATAAAGAAGAACAGATACAGGCTGAATCAACAGCCCTGTACCCTAACCATGGTCTACTGGACGAGTAAAAGAAAATTTGTGACATTTACATTCAGTTCAACAGGAAAGGGGTAAGAAGCAAACTGAGCGACAAATTGCTAAAAAGGATGGTTTTCTAGAAGCTATTTTAAGTCATACCAGTTCAACAATTTCCTCAGCAAAGTATCAATTTGTTCACTGTTCTTACCTGACTTATCAGATGAGGATCTAGAGTTTGAACAAAAAATCCCAACAGTGACAGTAAAAGGCTAAGTGTCTGCTGAACATAAGGTTGACCTGTTACCTTAAATAAAAGCACAAAATAATTATGGTGAAAATTTTCAATTACATGAAAATAACTATCTTTTAGATGAGCATTTATTATACACCAAGCAATATGCTTGATACTACCTCACATACACCTTATAACTCTATGAAGTAGCTCTTATTACCCTCAATTTACTAATAATTAAGAAAAAGGAGCAGAGAGGTTAAATAATTTGCTCAAGATCACGACCAGGAAATTGAATTCAGATGGAGATCTAATTGCTTTTGCTTGCCACTGAAAAACCTGCAAATGCCTTTATGTTCTTAAAAATTCCATTCCTCTTCTCCGTAACTGTTGTTTCTATCATGATACGGTAAGCTGTATCACCAGGAGAGACATCCTCAGTGAGTATTTACTGATTGAGTTGTGAACACCAGGGGAATGCACTTCCTGAAGTTAAAATACTACAGAAGGTAAATTTAATCATACGTAAACTTTAATGATAAAACATCATCTGCAAAACCATTTCTATTATTTACCAAAAGTGTGAAGGTGCCTTGAGCTTCCAGTGGCTGGCACTACTCACCCAAAGAAAACAAATGTCATGCTTATATTTTTAAACTAAATGTCATGTGTAAACCACAATAATCTGTGGGGCACCGATCCCAATCCTAGCCTGACCGTCACCCGGCCTCTGCCATCGCTGGGGATAAGAACCCGACACAGCCAGAGCCATCCACTTGTCCCTGCTGCCTTTACTCCAGGTCACTCTCCACTGCCCTAAAGATTTCACAGAAACAGGCTATACTAACCCAACAGGGAAGAGAAAAATACAAGAAGAGTTTGATTTTTTTTTAAACAGGGTCCAAATGGTCATGAAAATAGTTAGATGGTCATGGTCACTCTACTGGACTCTAGTTTTACTAATGGAATCCTGTCACACTCAAAAAGAACTGGTTGACAGAGCACAAATAGGTATTTTAAGTTCTAATTGCAAGTGCTACAAGCACTGAAAGAAGTTACATACATTTCACTCTACAGGAAAATTTAGGTGCTATTCTCTTTTTTCAATATTTTATTTGTTCTTCAGGGAAACGATCAGCTGCTTTCCTTACCAGTTTAGCGTTTAAAAACGCCCAAAGCTGACTCCCAATCTCTGTAACTGCAGTCTGCTGTGCAGTATCCAGAGCTTCACTAGCAGAGTTACATACAGCAAGCAAAGCAGAGAGCTGTGTGTTCTACAGGGAAGACAGAGGGAAAGAACTGAGTTAGATCCCAGTCTAAGGGAGCTGAGGCCCCAGAGGTTATGACTAACATAACTCTGCATAAAACCCAGTGTCAAATTTATATTCTAAGACCCAATGCCATCTTTTCACCTACTTCATTAATACATTTTATTTAAAATAATTTTCCTTATATATAGAAATATCTACTTCATTTTCTACATATTTTTCCTTTTAGGTTAAAATTTAATATCAAAATAGAAACAGTACTGTATTTTAATACAATGATACAGGCTATCAGTGTAACCAAGCTAATTTTATAATATTCATCAACTAAAAATACTATTTTTTTCACAAGATGTGCCCAGAAATCTTTTAACATTACTAGATTTGTATTGTTGTGGGTTCATAATTAATCTTTAAAACTCCTCAGCAACACTCTGCATTCAATAAGTAAATACAATACTTGAGAAGTCCACTATCTAGAATTTGAAACTAAAACTATCTTTTATGGATTCACTCTTATCTATATCTGGAATCTCAGTCTCTGACTCGCCAGGAGTGCAGTGGACTGAGCACACAATGATTAGTAACAACACCTTTAATCCATTATACTTCAACAATGCTTAAGTTTGAAGGATTACCACACAGCTTTTTAGTGAAGATTTACCTATTTCCTTCTACAAATAAGCATGTAAAATGACCTGCTGAAATAAAAGTTTTGATCAGGGCAAAGATATATTCAATTTTAGAAAACCGGTACATTATTTTACCTAATACAAAAGACTTTCTATTTTTAACTACAAAAACCAGTGCACAATAAATGCAAAACCTGAACAATCTAAGCTACTCCTGTGTATTTCAAATTTTTCTCAAAATAAATGCAAATAAAACTTGTATTTCCTTTGAATATATGTATATGTTTTAAATTATCCTGATAATTATCATCAAGTGCCATGAATATAACAGTGTCAGAACATTTACACTGTGTGGAGATCGAAGCCTTGAGAAAACCCTGACCTCATAATTTAAAATTGCAAATAGTCCCCTAATCCCTTGAATGCCCAGTCCCCATCCCTGCTTGATTTCTACTTATCCCAAACTGATCCCAAATGTAACTATACATTTACATATATATTTATTACCTATTTTACTGTCCACAGCTGAGCTAGAACGTTAGTTCATGAGAAGAGGAATTTTTGTTTTGTTCCCTGATCTATCCCCAAAGCCTAGAACAGTGCTTGGCACATAAGAACGTTCAAAATATGTTTACTGGATGAATGAATGAACAAAGGAGGAAATAATACTAAAGTGGACAACTAAATCACATGTAGTAGTCAATTTTTCAGTCAATTTTTAAAAATCATGTATTTCTTCTTATAGATTAATTTCTTTTACATTTCATTATTTTAAGAGAGAACAATAGAAAGCTACATAAAGACTCAGAATTGGTGTGTATAAAATGAGGGTTGCATTTTGTCAGAAGAATGTCTGCCTAATCTGACGATGTGTCAGCAAAAATACTGCAGATAAAATATTTTTATACTGAGTTGCATCTTGGGCCAATGTGTCTTGAACCTCGGCCCCCAATATAATTTACATCAAGATAATAGTAAGTTTCTCACAGACCCCTTTACAATGTAGAATCTGAAAAGCTTGCTAGTTTCTAACCTGAGGGGAGAGACTGCATCCTTCTCATTAACAACCCATCACTAGTACCTAACACATCACTAGTATCTTCAATAGTGCTCAATAAACAGCTACCAAATGAATCAAACCAATCAAAATTCTTTTCTTACCAGAGACTCAAGTTCTCCCAAAGTTCGACTATTGCTTAGCCACTCCTTACACTGTCCAATGCCTACTCTGATGACCTCTTGTGCAGTCTGTTTCCTAAGCTCGGCAGGTAATGCCTGGAAGGAAATATATTGCCACAGAGACAGATTTTCTGCTTCTTTTGGGGAAAATTCCTGGATAAATTCCACCTGAAATAAATTGAAGAGTAACATAAGATGATCTGATGAATGGATGCAAAAAAGCTGAGAATTGGCTCTGTGTTTTATAATTTTAAAAAGTTTTTAACTGAGTAGTAATATCACAAGGACCAAAGTAACCTACATGAACATTCATTATTATATTTGCTGTTGCTGCATTTGTTTGCAAATGCAAAACACCACTTTTAAGTGGAACATGATATGAAGACACTGAGAGATGTTAAAAATAATGCATTTTATTATAAGTCAGGTAGCTATGTTATCCTATTAAGTGCTGGCCTCAGCAGCACATATACTATCCTACCCAGTTATTATTTTCCTAAGAACATGTGTGCTCATGACCTTGTTCAGTTAGGTCAGAAGTAATTGGGGCACCTGGGTGGCTCAGTCAGTTAAGCGTCCGACTTCGGCTCAGGTCATGATCTCACAGTCCGTGGGTTCGAGCCCATGTCAGGCTCTGTGTTGGCAGTTCAGAGCCTGGAGCCTGCTTCAGATTCTATGTCTCCCTCTCTCTCTGCCCCTCCCCTGCTTGCTGTCTCTGTTTCTCAAAATAAAACAAAGACATTAAAAACAATTAAAAAAAAAAACAGTAATATTCCAAGGTACGCCAAAAGACCAATTCGGCCAACCTTGGCGGCTTATTGTTATTCCAGCTGACTAGAACAGAGGACCTACAAAAAGAACCAAAGGTCATCGGTTCAATTTTCCACTGGGCTAGCTGGCTTTGCTCTCAGAGGACACATGGAATTTGTTTCACAAATGCAAGCCACCAGTTCGAAGCCATGTGCCTAGCAAATCCATTCTCCCACTGAAATAATTAAAAGAGTTTGCCAAGTTAACAGAAAAATAGCATTGGTTTGTTAAAAATGAAGCATCAGCAAAGTAGCTAAAAACAGAACACAAACCTTCAAAAAGAAAAAGTTAAAATACAAGTTTCTGGTGGAAAAACATCAAAAATAATGTGCAATGAGTTTCTAAAGTATAAATCTAGGAGTATAATTTTTTTAAGAAAAATAATTCAATTTTTAATATCTCAAATCTACTTGATTAATGAAAACTTTCTATGTTAAAAAAAACCCATATTAAATTTTACAGAGTAATTCTCTTACATTATATGTTATATTTATATTTGGATTTTGTCTGCAGATAATATTTAGCTATCAAAACAAGAGAGAAATTGTGTGGTTATCTTCTGGGATAGCTGATAAAGCCAGAAAAATGGATCCTCTGATGAGCTGTGTCTATTATAATAAGTGGCTTTATTCATGACACCAAACTGCACCAAGAGAGCCAAGAGAATTGTGCCAACTGATAAACATCGAACATGACCTTACTTTATAATAAAATCCAATGAGTGAATGAACTAATTCCCTTCCCAAAATGGAAATCATAAATAAGAAAGCCCTGGACAACATAAAAGGGTAGATGCTGACAAATTTTGTTACAGAGAAAGTGATTTATTTACTATTCTGAGTTTGAAAACCCTGGTCTCAATACAATTTTAAATATTTAGGGGCACTGGGGTGACTCAGCTGGTTAAGTGTCTGACTCCTGATTTCAGCTCAGGTCATGATCTCCTGGTTCATGGGTTTGAGCACTGACAGTGTGGAACCTGCTTGGTTTTCTCTCTCTCTCCCCCTTTCTCTGCTCCTCCCCCACGTACTCTCTTTCCCAAAATAAATAAATAAAATTTAAAAAAATATATTTAAAACTGCCAGTGCTAATAACAGTTCATAATTAGTGAGATAGAAGTGAATAATTTGTAGAGACTTAGGACTTCCCTTATTAAAATTGAGAAAAGAGGAAAAATACAACAGTGGGCTCAAATACTTTTTGTACTTTTTTTCTTTTGACAGTACTTTTTATTTTACATAAAAATGGCAGCACAACTATCAGCATACTTAAACCAGGTATGCTAAATCTTTTCTTCTCAGTAACCTTGTACTTTTGCTTGTTTCTACAAAACGGAAATATTAACAGTTTCACACTGAAAGAAACTGGGTATCAATTATTACTCTCTATATTGAAACAGAAACACATTTTAATCTTCTTTTTACTGGTAGTTCCCCCCAAATTATTGCCACACTTTTTTTTTTAAAAAGTAAAACATCACTGTACTGGGATTAACTATTTTCAATTATGTTAATGCTGCATCACTGATAGAGAATCTGGGTTTTTATTTCACCTTTTAAAAAGAGAACATCCTGCATGCAAACAAGTAATTATTTCCAGCTTTGCTGCTTGTCTCTCCTTTTCCCCAGCACATGCTCTCCCGCCTTCACCCCTGCCCCAGCTGCCCCTCCCCCCCATCCTTTAGCCTGTATCACAAATGTCTCCATCTCCAACAGCTTCCCCTATTCTCCCCGTGCTTCCCCCTACCCCCCACCCCCCACAAGTGATCTTCTAAGCTATGAACACCTAACAAAACCTGACCTGTGCCACTTTTGGTACTCTTTTTGTAGCACCTTTCACTTTAATAAATTGTAGTTTCTACTAGATTATATGTTCTTTCTGGTACTGTGACATAGCACAGCGGTTTCCAGTTTTTTTTTTAAACAAAACACTATTTAAAATTCATGAGCAAGCTCTACACACCTCAACAAGGAAAGCAGATTTCATAGCTATAGGAACAAGGAGGCAGCCTGGCAGCCAGGAAACAAGAAGCCCCAGAGCAGCTGCCCAGAGAAGAGCTGGGGGACGAGCCGGGAGAGAGGGAAGCACAGTTTTTGGGAGGAGTCAGACAAACGTGGCGTGGACCCCCGCCCCCCGCCCTGCTGTCTGTCACAGTGAGTCTCCCTGAACTACTGTTTATTCGTGTGCAGAATGAACACACCCCAAAGTACCCCACCCCAGGCTGATGCGGGAACTCCAAGAACTGGATTGTCCAGAATGCAGCCCCATCCATCTCAGCGAAGGCCCGTTCCCTCCCTTCTTCCTTCAGGAGGAGGGATCACATCATGGGGGGGAAAGGAGAAAGAGCAGAGCCTGGCAGAAGGAACACTTGTTAAATGATCCTTTGGAGAAGCTTACATTCCTCATTTCAAGTCCCAGCTATGTCTAGAGAAGGTTAGTACCTCAGTTTTAGGATTAACTAACTCCCACGGACTCTCAGACAAGAATTCAAATTCAGACACATCCCTTTAAATTTAAGCACGGTAATCTGACCAGGAAACCAGTATTTGATAATTGAAGGAAAAAGTTAAGAGTAAGTATTCAAATATCCATAACTTCCAAATCTGATAGCCTCAATTATTTGGAAAAACTTACAAAATTGAGGAGTATCTAAGAAATATCTAAACACTAACTAGAGTTCACTTACAACCATGTTTCTAGACCTCACTTAGAGATCATTCGTCCTGAGTGGAATTATTCTACAAGTTAAAATTTCACAACAACCCTAGGAAAAGGATAATTTTATTATTCCCATTTAACAAATGGGAAAACTGAGGTTAAAAGGACCCTCAGGAAGGGCTCCCAGTTCATGGGGCCTCTATGAAGAACAGTGTACCAGAAACCGAGGAAAAGACCCCTGAGAGGGGAATAAAGGGACTAAAATCCGAAGGGACCTGGAACAGATGACTCTTCTGGGGTTCTGACAGGGAAAACAGCAATGCTTACGTGTCTCCTAAAAGGCCAGCAGGTGGGCCCGGTGCACTTTCGGCCTCGGCACCACCTGCAAGGAAGACGGCGAGGAGGTCGGAAGGGCTCCTCTGGTGCTTGGCCAACTTCTCTTGGGCAGGAAAGCAGAATACACTTGCAAATACTCTATTCAGAAACGACTAACAATATTTATTGAGCACCCTTCTAAGCATGGCACTATGCTAAGTGTTTTGCATATATTACATCTGGCTCCTTACGAAATTTCTCAAAAAGGATTAACACATATCTGCCATTCTACAGACAGGGAAAGAGGTCTGGAAAGGATGCTGTGGCCAAGGTCACAGCTAGACAGGATTCAAACCCCCTTCACTAACCTACTGGTTCCCAAGCTTGTATCCATGTCAGAATCATGTACAAATTCCAACAGCAATAACAACACAAATGACTGGGCCTCGCTGCACTGCCTCTACTCTGCACCCACACCATTCACAGGAGAAGGTCCAGGAGCCTATATTTTTAAAAAACCTCCTAAAGCAGCTCCTGAAACAGCTGCAAAGTGACCAGTCCAAGGGACTGCACTGGCCTACACAGGTTTCCATAACTGGAGAGTCTCCTTTATCATGGCAGAGCTAGTTTTCCCTCACAAGAGCAAACAACTAAGGTTCATCGTACTTTGCATTTTCCCCAAAAGTTCAACTTATTTACTGTAAAAAATAAGAGACACCATTAAGGGCATAAATGATATTCTAGGTCTTCACAATAGGTCTAAGGGGAAGGGCATACAGAACCTTCTCATGTCAGTATCTTAAATGTCTGAGAAACAAGGGGAAAGATATACTTCAGGAAGACAATGACTGTCTGTAACTTGCAGCAAAGACAGTGACAAAGACACTGTCCTGACCAAACTCAAGTCTGGTTCTTCTTCCATGCCCCTTCTCAACTAGTCTTCCGTCTGGAATTGTGTCCATCCCTGGGCTTGCAGCATCCAGGTTTAGCAAGAATTCTGCTAAGTCCACTTAGAAAGCATCCTCAGTCTTGCTATTTGATCACCTTGGTCTGTGTTTAGCAAGAATCTTACCTAGTCAGTTAAGCAAGAACCACCACTTCCTCCTAGTAGTTTTCACCCATTGACCGACACCTTGCTCCCTGAATGTGAATCCCTACCAGTCTGTGCTATATTCAGACTCGAGCCCAGTTCTACACTGACACCTCTTTCCCCCTATAGCAACAATCCACTTTTATCCATTTTATCACTAACCACACTGTGTGGCTCTGATTTTTCTTTTACAACATCAAAGTCTAAACCTATCTAAAAGCAATAAACAAAATACATTAAAAATTTATACTCAGATTACATCAACATTTAAATGTATAATAAATGGGGCAATGAGAAGCTTTCAGAGAGTCTGAAATCCAATTCTCAGCAGCTACCCAAAGACAGTGACTAAGATGATATCCTTGCCTGCTGGGTTGGGGCCATGAAGAAGAAGAGTCGCCTTAATAGTATTGACAGGTTGGTGAGCTGGTAACATTCTCCAGAACAAGATTTTATCTGGGAAAAGACAGAAGAGGAGAGTCGACTTAAAGTCATAGCTTTTACAAGCTGTCATATGCCAAAATATTAACAGCACCTCTTTTGGAAATTAAGATTATAAATAATTCAGATTTTTTATTTAGAGCTTTTCTTAAATAAGTTGTTTTTCTTCCATTAACCTAGATTATTTTTATGAGAAAAGGATTTTGACATTGTATTTAAAAAGAAACTCTTTGGTGTTGATCACTGGGTGTTATATGTAAGTGATGAATCACTAAATTCTACTCCTAAAAACAGTATTACACCATATGCTAACTAACTAGAATATACACAAAAATCTGAAGGAAAAATAAAGAAAAATAAAACCAACCCTTTGGGATTTCTATTTCATATCACTATTTTGATGATAACTTTGTATGTCAATCTTCTACTCAAAGACAATTCATGGAAGTTTGTAAGATCTAAAGCACAACAGTGCAGAGGTAAATATAACTCTAAGATAGAAGCTCCATTAAAAGATTTTATAAGCTCCATTTTCTGGCAATCAATTCCTATCATAATATACTAGGAGAGCTTTTATTTTATTTGAAAAATAATACATATAACATAAAAATTACTTTGGCTCTGTCTTGTGCAAGATGTATTAAGGATTCGGAAGTGGGTAAGCACTCCGGACCGCTAGCCATGGAGACATGCAGACCAGCTGTCCAGGTCATCAGACATCTCACTGCATTTCATCTACAACATCTTTCAACCGTAAACTAAGAAATATATGACATAGTAGCTACTAAGAAATGAAAGACACATGGACCGACATAAGATCTTTATCACATGCCAGGGACAAAAACCTGAAAACAAAAACAAGTCATGACCATATCATATGGAATATATCAAACATCTCAAAACCTGGAAACAGAAAAGATCAACACTGACAAGGTTAAATCATCACTACATCATTTTCTCTTTATATCCACTCACAAAGCATGATTTCTTTCCCAAAAGGCATAAATCCCTGTCACATCAGTTCCTCTCAAATCATTCTGAGAGACAATAAAATTAAAAAGCACCTTGTCTAAGTCATATTCAAGGGAGAAAGAAAAAAGAACTCTCAGTAAGCAATATTACGACCTTTTTATTTTCTACTTTGCATTCAATTTTAAATTTATTCTCAGTTAACCTAGTCTTTGTTCCCCAGTACAATTAATGAAATTCTATAAGATTTTGAAAATATGAGACAATTTCCCCAGTTTTACACTGTTTCTGGTACATCTTTCTCAATAACATCAAAATTAAAGCACAGCAAAGAAACTGTCAAAACAATTTAGCAACCAAACTATTTCTCCTTTTGATATTCACATTCTTTAAGATTATCATATCCTTAAAAAATTGCATGTTTTAGGCCTTGTTATTCTCCTCACCAGATGCGCCACTATGGTGACATGGTGTGCACAGAGTTCAGCAGTCCCATATCTGTGATTTAAGAGAAAACAGTCTTTATGAAATAATTTATACAATTATTCAAAAAAGTAATGAGATGAACTTCTGAAAAGCACTAAGTATTCTAAATTGCAATTTTATCCATGGTCAAGGAACATCACGATATACAAAACTACCTAAGCAACAGGTATCTATCAGCTTGAACCCCAGAAACGAAAAAGGGAACCTAGTTCCTAATTTAATGCTAGGATACGAAACCAAACCATTTCAGGGAGCCAGTAAAGGGTTATTGAGACAGAATTTTTCTTCAAACTTACATTAGAACATCATTTACTCTCAGTTACTACTGTACATCAATATAAAAACCAAAAAAGTACACTGTACCGGGAAAGGAAGCACCATACATCCATAGCTAACAAAGAGGTGATCAGATTAGCACTAAGCACAGCATTCAACAGAGCAACATCCTAATGAAAAACAGAAAGTTCATGATAAATTATTATTAGCATTACATTTCTCAAAATAAAACAACAAAACACCATCACAATCTAAATAACGGAAACTCAATGGGAAGGCTCAACTCTAGTATCTGAAAGAACCTAAAATATCATTCCCTCAACATTTCCTGACCACCTACCGTATATTAAGCATTATACCGAGCTATGGAGACTCAAAAGTGATTTTATATGTGGTTACTCAATCATTAGGATCCACAAAGATTCTAGTGCTAGATATTAACCTCTGTAAAACATGTTAAAGAATACTGATCCCTATGTAAATTCTAAGAATTTCTTCCCCACAATTGTCAAAATCTTTTCTAATTTAATTCCATTAAAGAAAATCAACATTTTGCCTAAGATCTACAGACTTGGTACTACAATCTGCTATTTGCTTCTTCTTCTCTTTATGGAACTGAATTAGGTAATATCCAAACATTTTTCCCCTTTTCACTTGATCTTTCCATATCTTGCCACCTAAAATGTTCTGGCTGACCACTACATCTGAATATTACAGGACTCCAGGATTACCATTTCCTAAAACACAACTGAATTATAGGGTGAAATGTGCAAACTCAGAGAATGACATTTGAAAAGAATATACATAACTATTCCTGTCTTCTGTATATAAATCAAAACTTCAGTGAAAAGAAAGTAGAAGTGCGGTCTCAATTTAGCCCAGCAGATAGCAAACTTACCAGTTCAGGAAACAGTGAGGGATGAAAGGAAGCGACAAATGTGCACAAATGAACACAAACATGCTGATACAAGGTGACAGCAACCTCCGCTTGCCCTTTACTCTTTACTCCTTGTAGATGAACAGGGAGAGAGAGTTCACCAGAACACTGCTCAAAACTGTAGAAAATGGCTTTGAGCAGAGATACCCTGCAGGGATATTGAGAACACGGAACATTATTAACATTTTAATAATTAGCAAATATAATAATAATATAAAAACATAGGGGGGGTTCTTTTAGCAAAGCAAAATGTCTCAAGAGGTATATATCAACAGTTTCCAATATGTGTGAATATTGTAACCATAAAAATAAAATATAACCATTGTTTGACAAACTTCTTAATGGAGAAGAATTTTCTGTACCTTTTTTTCCTTTTTTTTAAATCAAGTGTTTATCATAGTATTGAACTATACAAAGTCACAGACAAAATTTATCAAGGAACCTTAAATTTAAATATACATTAGATACTCTATATAAAATAGAAAATATGTATAAGAGAGGAGTCATTTTGGAGCATCTGGATGGCTCAGTCAATTAAGTGTCTAACTTAGGCTCAGGTCATGATCTCACAGTTCATGAGTTTGAGCCCAGATCTTCGAGCCTGCTTCAGATTCTGTGTGTGTGTCTCTCTCTCTGCCCCTTCCTCACTCATACTCTGTCTCTCGCTCTCTCAAAAATAAACAAACATTAAAATAAAAAGAGAGAGGGGTCATTTTAAGATTGAAATGGCTTAAGACATCTTCATAGAGGATTTAAATAACAAATTAGAAAAGGCAAAATGTAAACAGGTAGAGAAGACAAAGCATGAGGAAAAGCAGGTGTGAGTGACCAGTATGACCAGAGCAAGCGACAGGATGAGCAGCAAAAATGGGTGATGGAGGCAGACTGGGATGGATTTTAGATGCAAAGCTGAGCAGTTCTGCCACCACGCTTGTTTTTGAGAACAGAAGGTTCACAATTGAGCTTCAGGTGGATGACCCTGGTAGGTGGCACATGGCACAGGCTAGAGAAGAGGGTGGACATACAGTAGGTATAACACATGGAGTAGGAAACTACCGCCTGGCAGTGGCAAGGAAGATAAAAACGAGTGAAATCTCCCGGGAGAGAACTTGCGGGCACCTAGCATTCTGTTTATAAGAGCTCAGTTTTAAATGTTAGTAAACACATCTGCCTATTACACTCAACATTTATAACACTGAGTATTAGGCATAATCTTCTAAAGCACTGAAAATATGTTTAGCATCTGTTACAGATTTATATTTTTAATGTTTTTATTTATTTCTAAGAGAGAGAGACAGCGTAAGCAGGGGAGGGTCAGAGAGAGAGAGGGAGACACTGAATCTGAAGCAGGCTCCAGGCTCTGAGCTAGCTGTCAGCACAGAGCCCGACATGGGGCTTGAACCCACGAACTGTGAGGTCATGACCTGAGCCAAAGTCGGACGCTCAACTGAATGAGCCACCCAGGCATCCCAGATTTATATATTTTGAATCTATATTTATAAGTAGCAATATATATGAAGTCTACACAAGAATTATTAACTAGAAGATCTTAATTTCAAAATCATTCCAAACGACAGAACATTCGGAACCATCTGCAGTGACTGAATGTAACCACCACCATGTCAGCTACCTGGGCTTCGCTCCCAGGAGCTGGCGTTCCGTGCACCACAGGGCCTGCACATCCTCGGGCTGAGAGGGCAGCTTGTCCATGACAACAACCAGCAGGAGGCACTGTGGGAACTGCAGTTCGCATGGCAGCTCTCACACATAATAAAAACACATTAAGTTACAACAAATTGGTAAAAATACACCCTACAAAATTTCAACAGAATCTGATTGCGATGCATAAAGAAGTTAGAGGCAGAACTGTTGGAAAGTATTTTTCATTTAAAAAAACAAGGAATTTTAAACAAAATTTTTAAAAGGGATGATTGATTATGTAAGAGAAATAACCCTATCTCTAACATCATAGTTATTAAAGGGTTTAAAATTAAATCTGTTTTGAAGCTTACCTAATTGACTGTCCAAAACCGCCTGCACAAAAGGCTGGAAGGTGAGAAGCTGGCTGATGAGTGGATCCAGTGTAACCAGGAAAGTCCCCACTACTTCCTCCTGCTGGGCTTTAGAAATCTTGGCAGCATACAGGCTTGGAGGAAACTTGCTGGAAAGGCAGGGAAAACAATTCATCCATTAATAGGTCTCTTCTAATTTTAGGTAGACATAAGTACTGCAAATTGATCTTCTAGCAGTGAAAATATATAAAAAATAAGTAGATGTATTTTATTTAAAAAAATTCAATATACTAAATGGATACCACAATTCTATGAGGACCTCCAAACTAAATGACTGTAATTCCACAAAATTAAAAGTTTTACAATCTTAGAGAAATCTTTGGTATTGTTTGGATGCATTTTAATACCATTTTGACATCAGTGTCCTTGAAAAAAAAAAGACCATGAAAATATGAATTATCAAATAACCAGTAAAAACACTATATATAGAAAGATACTTCTGATAAATACTGGCTTATACACTTCTATTAAAAGTTCTTTTAAAATCATGCAGAACACTGAATTTACTAGGAAATAATGCTAGAAACGAGGGTTTTGTAAGAATTAAACAGTATACTAGTCCTGAGAATATGCAAACTTTTTCATGGAAGACATCTCAGTAAGTAGAGTTGACATGAAACTTCAGTCAAACCTATGTGAAAAAAGATGTATACTCAGTACTTTTTGTCATGTTATTTTAATTATGGCAAATTTGAGGGTACTTGAAAAAACCCTGTCTAGTAGGGGATAATAGCATTTGAAGGGATGCACTTAAGATAAACATTTGAGGCCTCTGTAGTGTGATGGAAAAAGCAACAATCTGTTAATTATTAGTTGCCTGTTTGGTTCATTCATTTGACCTCCCTGAACCTCAGTTTCTTCATTTGTGGTGCTGATGCAGAGTGGCTGTGAGGATTAAATTATAAGTAACGTAAAAGACATATATAAATAAAAGACAGATAGTGAAACTCCACAGACTTGAACTACAGCTACTAAGCATCAAAGCAAGTACTTGCTTTTCAATCAAATGGTGTATTATTAAATCGATTTATGTGAAAACTGTTTATTACATGCCTGTGTATACATGCCATGCACTGTTCCGGGAGCAGGTAATACAATGGTAAACTGAATGTATAAGATCACTGCCTTTACAAAGTTCCTATGCTAATGAAAGAGGGCAGTTAGCAAACAAGCAAGCAAGTAAATCCATAATATAACAAATGTTAATCACTGGAAGGTTTATACAGAGAAGTGTCATGATCTCCTTTATGTCTTATCACTCACTTTGACTACGGTGTGGACGACAGACTAGAGAGAGGCAAGGGAGGAGGCAGACAGTGGGTGGGATGCTCTCTGTGGAAACCCAGGGAAGAAACAATAATGGGTGGCATCAGATGTGAGCAGTTCTGGTGGTGAGAAATGGCTGGGTTCTGTATACATACATACTGAACACATACTGAATATATCTAGTTATAATGAAGGTGATACTGACAATTTGCTATTGAGCAAGATGTGGATATGAAAACAAGGAAAAGTGTCAGAGATGACAAGGTTTTTTGGCCTCATCAGTTTGAAGAACAAAGTTGCCATTTAAACTGAAATGAGGAAGCTACAAGGGAAGCTGATCTTGTGGGGGGTGGAGATGGAATGGGTAGGAATCAGTTTGGGTGAATTTAAGTGTAGATGCCCTGAATGGCAGTTAGACAGTAAAGGGGATGACAAATTTAGTATCTTGAGATGAAATGACCACAGGGAGAGAAGAGGCCTGAGGACTAGCCACTCAGGTACACCGGCTGAAGCTGGGGAGAAGAGGACCTGCTGAGAAGGAGCAGCCAGTGAGGTTAGAAGAGAACAAGAGGGAGAGGTAGCCTAGAACCCAATGGAAGTCGGTGCAAAAGGAAGGGTCGAGTACTGCAGACAGGTTACATAAGAGGAGGCTTAAAGCTGACCACCATATGTAGCAACATGGACATCACTGAAGAGCTTGACAAGAGCTGTTCTGGTAAAGTGGTGGCACGGACAGCCTGACTAGAACATCCTCAAGAAAAAAAGTAGAGACAGTGGTATAGACAGACAACTCCTGAGACTTTTGCTGTAAACAAGGCAGAGAAATGGGAAGGTATTTGGAGGGGGCTGTGGAGCTGAGAGGTGGTGTTCTGTATTCTAACGATGACGGCCACGGGGAAAGTAACAGTGTGCTAGTATCCGGATGAGAAAGACCTAGTAGGAGGGAAGACTGGTGATGCAAGGAGGAAGGCAACAGCTGCTAGAGAGAGGTCCCTGAGCACTTGAGTGCAGGGGACCAGCATGCAGAGGCCAGCTTCAGGCAGGCTGGACACTCACGCACGGGGACAGCAGCCACACGGGCCATGCGCAAGAAGCCATGCCTTCTCAGTGACATACGCAGTGAGGATGGTACCTGGCAACGGGGAGTGGGGAGGAAGTGTCTGAGATGTGGGGAATTCAAGGGAGACGTATGAAAAAGCTGTACAGGAGACTAGAGAGGACGGTGGGACAAACGAGATGACAGAGTATTGTAGTGTCAAACTGAGGGCTCCTCAGAGGTTCTGTCACTTTCACACATCACTGAGCCCCTATCTAAATTAAGATACTTTTCTATAATTCAGTGTTTTCCCTCAGATGGAGTTAACTCCTCTTAAATCTCACAGAAGTTAAAATAAAAATTTACAAAGATAAAAAACAATATATCCATGTATAAACAGATTTTGGGGTTTTGTTTTTGTTTTTTTGCCTTTAGTATTTATCACCATACCAATTATCCATCACTTGGGTATGGATAAGGTACTGGTTAAGAGTAAGTAAAACTCACACGGAATATATTCTTTAAAAGTTTCCACATCTAATTATTTTAAGCAAGCAGTTAAAAATTTACTGAATGTTTTCTTTTAAATGGCATATGCTTGACCTCTGCATGGTTCAAATGACAGTTACATTTTTATGATCACATAGCACTCTTACCTGTGTATCTGAAGGTAAAGCTGGTGCAATGTACAGCAAGAATCAGAGAGTAAAGGAAGAAATTCCTAAAATAAAACAATGCTATTCATTCTCTGTATGCACTGTGCTTTTCTAATACATATCCCCTCACAAAGACATGCAAAGTAAAATAAAATCCTGGATGTGCTGCATTAAAGAAAAAAAAACAGTCTTGCATAAGGACAAGGAGGATGAGGCTAATAAGCACCTGATTTACCATTAAAACATTCACTACAACCACAATTAGCAGCGATCACTTACTGAGAACCTACTAAGTGCTCAGAAGACATGTAGCAAGTGACTTTGTGTATATCACTTTAATTCAGTCTTCTCAAAAATCTTATGATATATCATTATCCCCATTTCACAGAACAGAAAGCTAAAGCTAAAGTATCAAGTAACTTGATCAAGTCACACAGCTAAAAACCGGCATGGCTAGGATTCAAGTCCAGTTGTGACGGCCCCACTATGGCTAGGCTACCTCTCAGGAAGTAAAATAAATACTTCCTGGTATATCATAGGATAAAGAAAAAGGCTGATGATTAATTTTTAAAAATTAAAAATTCTCAACAGAAAAGAAATGATTAAAAATGGCATGATTAGGTGTAATTTTGCCTCCTACACACCAAGCAAATTACCAGATGGTAACAACCCATCAAGTGCCATTGGTACCAGGGCTGTCCCACCACGGGCTCCTGCCACTTTAGTGCACAGCCTGCCAGCTGTAGGGAACCCAGCGCTCGAGCAGCCAACCAGGAAGTGGCACATGCCCAGAGGACCAGCTCGGGCAGCGCAGCGCACCCAACAGGAGGGCGACACGCTGGTGGTCCGGGTGCCTGCCGAGGAGCCCCAACTATAATCAAGTCACTGGAGACCCTCATCTTTTCCTCCAAAGAGAGGAAGACAAAGTTAAAGACAAATTCAACATAGATAACAGGTTTTTTTTTTTTTTTAATCACCAATATTTATTATTAGTGAAGATTCCTGGACCGGGTGCTATAAGCATTCTTTATTCCTCTCTCCAAATAATCTGCCTTGATAACTTACCTACTCCATCCAAATATCTTCAACTATCACTGCTATCCTGAGGACTCCCAAATATGCAAGTCATCTTAAAATTATTATACAGCTTTACAGCTTTAAACATTTCAAATTTAATAATTTAAAAATTTAGAAATGAAGTTATTTATAAACAATATTTAAAGCCAAATTGAATTATCTTCTGAAAATTGACTTGTGCTTATAGAAATAATTTTATTAGCATTTATGCTTAAAGAAATAACTTTTCTAGATAACTGAATAAAAATAATAACATGATAATGGTAGCAACTTAATATAACAGGTGCTCAACATTTAATAACAACATTTTTTAAAAACCTATAAAACATATTCTTCACAAAATAACTTCAACAGATTGGTTTTTTTGGGTAGGAATGATAAAAACAGGACAATTTGTAATTTATTGTAGATTTCACATTTACACATTAAAAAAAATAAGCCTTACCTTAGTATAGTGCAAAAGGGAGTTGGCAAAGAAACGACACAATTTGAGTGTTTTTTGAAATAATCTATAGTCAGCATTATCCTGTTCCAAAAAAGGAAAAAAGAAGAATAAATAAGAAAATAAGAAATTAGCTAAACTAGTAAATGAGACTATCTTTTCTAAGAAGATTTCTTAATAAAGAGAGCATAAACGTTTTCCAAGTAAATATAATTTTTCTCTGAATTGTTAGGAACAACATAAACATTAAATGATAGAGATACTTCAAAAAATTAAACTCTATTGAAAATAAATTTTAATTTATGATAGCAAAAAATTTTAATTTATAATAGATCATTCCTGGTTGATCTTAAAGTTAAAAAAATTTAAATAACTTATTATTCTTTGCGATATGGAGCGCAACAGATGATCAAAAGAAAAAAAGTCTCAAAACAATAAAAGAATGATATAAGAAAACAGGTAGAAGACTTCTCTTGTCAGTTCAAAGAAAATACAAGTTGCCAATAAACTAATACTGAAAAAATTCAATTTACAACTAATTACATATCTTTTAAAGGCAAAGGGGGAGGGCTACTAGCAAATATGAAAAAGACTGATAATATCCCAAAGTTGCTGAAGAAGTGGGATAATACGCACTTTGTTTTACCATTCATGGGAGCATAAAATAGTCTTTGCATTATTATTATTAAAAGCTAAAGTGTTGAATTTCCTTGACACAGTAGCAGTTCCACTTCTAGAAATAGATCCTATAAAAATACTAGCTTGCATAGGGGTGTCTGTGCAGCTCAGTCAGTTGAGTGCCCAACTCTCAGTTTCGGTTCAGGTCATGATCCCAGGGTCGTTGGATGGAGCCCCGTTGCCAGGCTCCACGATGAGTATGGAGCCTGCTTAAGATTCTCCATCTCCATCTCTCTCCCCCTCCCCCCCCAACACTGAGTGTGGAGCCAGCTTGGGATTCTATCTCCCCCTTTCTCTCTGCCCCTCATCCCAACTTGCTCTCTCTCTCTCTCTCTCAAAATAAACATTAAAAAACAAAAAGAAATGTTAACCTTTGATGTCATATAGCAAGAAATCTTCCCTGACTTCATGATCGGGTTCCTACCTTTAGTCCCACGAGCCAACACACAGTTCTCCAAAGATAACACTATTCTATAATTAACTATTTATATTTCTCCCAACTTAGACTATAAATTCTTGAAGGCAGAAAGTCTAACTTACACAGAATAAGCACTCTGGAAATGCTTATGAAATGAATGGCCAGTAACACACTACTTATTACATTTGCCTACTTTCAGTTTTTCTTTCTCATTCAAGGGGAAATTGTGCAGGTTTGGTTGAAGGATCTAGTTTTCCTTCATTACTAAGCATACTAATTAAATCTAGAGCTTTTATTTAGACATTTTCAGAAGTGCACAACTGCTTATCTCATCTTGATTTACTGAATAGTTTAAATCAAAAAGTTTGCATCCCAATGTCACAAAGAAGGGGTGAAAATATAAGCAAGGAAGGTCATTTTCAGTGTTTCAAAATACTGAGCATCCTTTCTTTAAATAAAACAAAAATACTACATGCAGCACACAATAAAGGTAAACGTTGGGATATAGATATAGAAGTACATGTTTATTATCAACAAAATGAAAAGCAACCTACTGAATGGGAGAAGATAGTTGCAAGTGATATTACCAATAAGTGGTTAATATCTAAAATACATAAAGAACTCCTACAACTCAACACCAAAAAAAACTCAGGACTTTTCTCTTTCACTATACTGCTGCTCAGGCTTTCCCGGTCTCTCCCCTGTCCTGGAATCTCTGTCTCATCTTACTTTCCCAGCACTAGCTGTAGAATCTGTGGGGTCAAGTTAATCAAGTAGGAGACTGGGAAAAGAGGAGGTAGGAGCTGAGGATTAAAGGTGGAGAAGAGAACAACCTTCCTGCCACTGACACAGGACACCCAACCAAATGTCTCCTCCTCATAGAAAGGTGAGGGAAACTGGCAAGGGCACTAGAAGGACAGAAGGAAGGACAGAAAAGAAAAGGGGAAAGCAGATGTAAGGGGAGAATGGTTAAGAGAAAGAGAAGCAAGAAGGAAAAGGTCAGCCCCCTCCTAAAGCCACTCCTCAGTTCTTTCTTCCCAACCTCAGAACTCCTTTTCATACATCCATCCCTCCCCTAGGGTCTGTCTACCCAGATCATTTCTGCCCCAGGAACTGCAACCAGTGCAAAGGAAAGGGATGAATCCTCACACGCCCACCTGCCTGAAGGTTGTGCAGGAAAAAACATAAGTACAAAGGAAATGCCTGTATCAGTTAGCAAGGCTACAACAGGAAAGGAGGTTACGGTCACTTTAGGGAAGAAATATTTAACTCATTTTCCCACTGAAATTATTACATATAACTCCTAGGTCCTGACTACTATCAATCCTATAATTTAGGGTCATTGTGAGTTAAATAAAATTTAAAGGGCTAGTCTGAGAACAACAGGCACTATGTATAAAATCGTTTTAGGAAAATGAACTATGATTCCCAATAAGCTTATTACAAATTTTTAGAGTACAGTATGTTTCATGAATGGGATGCCCATTCAACGCTGTAACTTTCTGAAATCAAAATAAATGTAAGCACACATCAATTTGAGAACACTAAAACACACATACGCACAGGAAAGTTATATATCACATCACTGTAGGTTGCAATGGATTGGTGAAGAAAAGGCTGACTGTGACTGTATCAAGATAACCTTAAATAAATATAGGACCAAGGAGTTAGGTTTTTGTCCTAGGGAAGAAAAGAAAGGATTCTGAGGGGAGTGCCTCAACCAACCCGTCATTATGTATAAAGGGAACGATTAGTCTCTAGAGGGAAAAGAGCAGGCAGGAGTCTAATGCAACGTTTGAGGCAAAAAGTAATCATGGGCTGTAAATAATCCTAGATTGAAAAAAACAAAAACAAAATAAATGAAAATCCTTAAGGTAAACTGATCCATAGATTCAAATGAGATTTAGTAACTGCCAAAGGAAAAGAGCTACTGCTCAATGTGCTGTTAGACTGCATTTTACCTGTGCATCTGACTGCGTCATCTGCTCAGCTAACTGTAAACACGAATGGAAGGAGAAAAGGATGTCATCACACAAGCTGGTAATTACAACTTTGTGTTTCAGCTGATTCTTTATAACCGACTGGTGTTTAAGGCTCTGCCTAAATGAGTAAAAAGAAACAATCACAAGTTATACATCAAGTAACATAGGACAATAGAAATAGGACTTGAAGTAACATGTAAAAATCACAATGGATCATATATGTTAGACATGGCATAATTAAGATGTGCTGACACTACCTCTGAAGCTGTTGTGTTAGCTTAGTAAGTAGATAATTTTTTATGGCTCCTTATAAAATGTTAATTGAACTCTAACTAATGTTCCAGGTATTCTGCGAGGTTCTGGGAGTGGAGAAGTAAACGGAGGCACATGGAACTTCTGGTCTAACAAAAGACAGGACATTACATAATTTCAAGAGTAATTACAGTGGTGATAAATGCTTAGATAGAGAAGTCAGGGTGCTACAACAGAGACCTGAAATAACTTATTCTTAGGAGGAGAATATCAAAGCTATCATGAGGATGTAACACTTACGCCAAGAACTGAAAGATAAGCAGGAATCAACCAGAAGCCTACTAGAACTGATCCATTAATTCAGCAAAGTTGTAGGATACAAAATCAACGTAGAGAAATCAGTTGCATTTTTATATACCAACAATGAGGCAACAGAAAGAGAAATCAAGAAATTGATCCCATTCACAATTGCACAAAAAACCATAAAATACCTAGGAATAAACCTAACCGAAGATATAAGAGATCTGTATGATGAAAACTATAGAAAACTTATGAAGGAAATGGAAGAAGACACAAAGAAATGGAAAAACATTCCATGCTCATGAATAAATATATAAATAAATATAAATAAATAAATCAGAAAAATAAATATTGTTAAAATGTCATTACTACCCAAAGCAATCTACACCTTCAATGCAATCCCCATCAAAATTGCACCAGCATTCTTCTCAAAACTAGAACAAACTATCCTAAAATTTGTATGGAACCACAAAAGACCCTGAGTAGCCAAAGTAATATTGAAGAAGAAAACCAAAATGAGAGGCATCACCATCCCAGACTTCAGCCTCTACTACAAAGCTGTCATCATCAATACAGTATGGTATTGGCACAAAAACATAGACACAGACGAATGGAACAGAATGGAGAACTCAAGAATTGGACCCAAAAATATACAGCCAACTAATCTTTGACAAAGCAGGAAAGAGTATCCAATGGAAAAAAGACAGCCTCTTTAACAGATGGTGCTGGGAGAACTGGACAGCAACATGCAGAAGAATGAAACTAGATCAATTTCTCACACCATACACAAAAATAAACTCAAAATGGATAAAGGACCTGAATGTGAGACAGGAAACCATCAAAACCCTAGAGGAGAAAGCAGGAAACAACCTCCTTGACCTCAACCGCAGCAATTTCTTACTTGACACATCCCCAAAGGCAAGGGAATCAAGAGCAAAAATGAACTACTGGGACCTCATCAAGATTAAAAGCTTCTGCACGGAAAAGGAAATAATCCATAAAACTAATAGGCAACCGATGGAATGGGAAAAGATAGTGGCAAATGACATATCAGATAAAGGGCTAGTATCCAATATCTATAAGGAACTCACCAAACTCCACACCCAAAAAACAAACAATCCAGTGAAGAAATGGGCAGAAGATATGAACAGACACTTCTCCAAAGAGGACATCCAGATGGCCAACAGACACATGAAACGATGCTCAGCATCCCTCCTCATCAGGGAGACACAAATCAAAACCACCCTGAGATACCACCTCACACCACTCAGGGTGGCTAAAATGAGCAAATCAGAGGACTCTAGATGCTGGCGAGGATGTGGAGAAACGGGCACCCTCCTACACTGTTGGTGGGAATGTAAACTGGTGTAGCCCCTCTGGAAAACAGTGTGGAGGTTCCTCAGGAAACTAACAATAGAACTCCCCTATGACCCAGCAATAGCACTGCTAGGAATTTACCCGAGGGACACAGGAGTGCTGATACACAGGGGCACATGTACCCCAGTGTTCATAGCAGCACTCTCAACAATAGCCAAAACATGGAAAGAGCCTAAGTGTCCATCAACGGAGGAATGGACCAAGAAGATGTGGTTTATCTATACCATGGAATACTACATGGCAATGAGAAACAATGAAATCTGGCCATGTGTAGCAACATGGATGGAACTTGAGGGTGTTATGCTGAGCGAAATAAGTCAGGCAGAGGACAGATACCATATGTTTGCATGTATAGGCGGATTAGGAGGAACTTAACGGAGGGCCATGGGGGAGAAGGGGAAAAATAGTTGAGGAGAGGGAGGGAGGCAAACCATGAGAGACTCCTGAATGCCGAGAACAAACTGAGGGCAGATGGCGGGGGGGGTTAAGGGGGGTGATGGGCATGGAGGAGGGCACTTGTGGGGATGAGCACTGGGTGTTATATGGAAACCAACTTGACAATAAACTAAATAAAAGATAAGCAGGAGTCAGCTAGGTGTGCAGTATGGGAGAGGAGCATCCCAGGCAGAAGGAAGGGTATGAGGAGGCCTTGGGATGGGAGAGTTTGTTATGAGGGACTAAGAGCAGAGAGAGAGCAGCAGAAATGAGCTGGTGAAGAAGGCAGAGGCCAGAGAGGATTAAGTTGTATCTCTTAGTAAAATGGGATGGATTTAAAGCAGTAGAGTGACATGATCAAATTTACATTTTCAAAAGATCACACCAAACACTGGCTAGCAAATGAACTGGAAGGGTACAAGAGTAGAAGATATTTGATGATAATGATGGTGATGTGGTAATTCACTGGGCACTCACTATGTGTCATGCAGAGTTGTAAGCATTTCATATCAATAAACTCAAATTAATTCTCACTGTAAACCCACCAAGAAGGTGCTATTGTTATTACTCCCATTTTCATATGAGCAAAGTAAGGCTCAGAGAAGTTAACTATGGTGCCCAAGTGTTCAGGAAGAAGAAATGATTTCAGAATGGATTCAAACACAGGCAGTATGGCTCTGGGTTGACACTTTAACCACTGTACCTTTAATTGTTGGCAAATCAGTAACCTCCTGGTGGTACAAGAGAAGCATCCAAGACCTAAAAATTCTACAATGACGTTTCATGTTTTATGCATGTGTATAAAGTAGAGATTCTTAGCCACTTTTACATCTCAATTCTATCTCCTCCGCCACCCCCCTCCGCCTCCATCCCCCGAGAATCTGATGGGTACTCTCCCTGGTAACCCTTCATAACACTCTAACTAAAATTACTTTTAAAAATTGTTTATGTTGGGGCGCCTGGGTGGCTTAGTCGGTTAAGCGTCCAACTTTCGCTTAGGTCATGATCTCGCGGTTCGTGGGTTCGAGCCCCGCATCGGGCTCTGTGCTGACTGCCAGCTCAGAGCCTGGAGCCTATTTCAGTCTGTGACTCCCTCTCTCTCTGACCCTCCCCTGCTCACGCTGTCTCTGTCTCTCCTAGAAATAAAAAAAATATTAAAAAAAAGAAGGCCGAGATGCAATTCTGCCACAACTCCTCCCTGGTTGACCTCTTCACCTACCTAACCCACATGGCGACCCACAAACGGGAGGGAACTCAAAACCCAAAGTTTCTGTCTGAGGAATGAAAAGCTCATCCCCCAAAGCAATGTTAATCCCCCAAAGCCCCCACAAATGTTAAGACCTGCAACTGAGATATGAGCACCCAAATACTCTAACTTTGAAAAACAACCATGCTCACACCTAAGGGACCCAAGGGTCTGTGGCAAAACAAGAAATAGCTCCTAAGGGACTCACACAGGAGTAGCCTTTGAAATGTGCCCAGATCTGATGTGAAGGAGGATCATTTGCCCATTTCAAAGCATTGCACTGATGGGCAGGAGCCTGCCGGAATATTATCCAAGCAATGAGGATGNTGCCAGCTCAGAGCCTGGAGCCTATTTCAGAGTCTGTGTCTCCCTCTCTCTCTGACCCTCCCCTGCTCACGCTGTCTCTCTCTCTCTGTCCTAGAAATAAATTAAAAAAAAAAAATTAAAAAAAAAAAAACTATTTATCTAAGCCTGGAAATAAAACACTTGATGGGTTAAATAACAGTAGCAGTAGTCAAGTGGTTAAGGCCCATGGCCCATTATTTCATAAGTACTAGTAACAAAGTCTAAATATTTTTCTAATTTTAGAAGCAGCAGAACAGAGAAGTCCAATTTGGTTTGGGAGCTACATGTACAATATGTGAATTATCAGACAGCTGTGTCAGTAAACATTATTTATACATACTCATAGAAAAATGTTTTAAAATGCAATCTAAAAAAATTTATGAATAATTAAGATTTGGGATATGGAAAATATATTACAAAAAGTAAAAGCAAAGAAAACTTACTTAATTATAAATTTCCAAGTATTAGCATGAAATGCATGGTCCATACTGGAAATAACAGAGCAGATATCCAACAATGAATGAATAACTACAAAAAAAGATAACAGAACTCTTAGGACATTCAAATGTCATATAGGGTGAGTTTCTCCTATATTTAAATGCATCCACTGAACAATTCTGACATTTTTAAATTAGGTAATGCAGTTAGAAAAACCTGTTTCAAAATACTTATAAAAATAAGTATCACACATCTAATTTATGGTTTTTATAAATTATGGAAAATTAATTTTTGACCTTTATACCTACCTAAATAAAATGAAATAATCTCAATAAAACTAAAATGTTCAGTGGAATAAAAGTTGTGCCCTATTATAATTGAAATATTCTCTAGGTATTTTAATCCAAAATGACAAAATAAGCTGCAAAGGAAAGAACACCAAACAGGGAAGAAGGAAAGCAAATCTGCACAGTATTTAAGGAAAGCTTCTACTCTTGCATTTTATTTGTAAAAATGGCCAGTGACTTCCCTTTCTGGGAAGGAAACACTCTTGGGCAGTTTCTTTCTACACTGATCTGGGGCCTAGCCACGTGACTTGCTTTGTTCAATAGGAAAATAACTATAAGGACAGCAAAGACAAAAAATGCTTGCACACTGGGGCTTGTTCCCTCTTGACGACCGAGCCTGGGCTGTCCTCCTAGATGATGGCACAGTACTTCCACCTCTGCCAAAAGTCAGATGTGTGTGAGGTCACTGACCACAAAAACACAGGTGAGCCAGGTGTGCTACATGGAGCAAAGAAAGCTGTCGCAGCTGAACTCAGCCTAAACTGTTGACTCACAGAACCGTGAATAAATAGAGCAGTAGCTGCTTTAATCCACTACATTTGGGGGCGGTCTGTTATAGACCAAGAGGTCCTTCTGATATACTGCACAAAACCAACTTATCTTTATATTGAAGCTATACATGCAATCTTTGCCCTTATATTACTGTTTTTCAAACTCTGAGTTAGTGACAGAATTATGAGGTAGCAATCAGCAATTCTTTAAAAATGAAACATGTAGGGACGCCTGGGTGGCTCAGTCGGTTAAGCGTCCAACTTCAGCTCAGGTCATGATCTCACAGTTCATCGGTTCGAGCCCGCGTCAGGCTCTGTGCTGACAGCTCAGAGCCTGGAGCCTGTTTCAGATTCTGTGTCTACCTCTCTCTCTCAGAGACCCTCCCCTGCTCACGCTGTCTCTCTCTCTCAGAAATAAATAAAACATTTTAAAAAAATTTTGTAAATGAAACACGTAAAACAGGAATTATTTTACGTATAATAAATAATGTGCACACATACATATTTACAAACATACACATACTTATGTAACTAGAGGTGTTCTGGGAAGAAATGCAAACTTCATTTCCTACGGAGTTAATGCTTTAAAAACTCTAAAAGCTACTGCCTCAAAATCTAAACTACGTTAGAAGGTATAACGTTGTACAACTTTGTTACTCGCTGTGGAAAAATCATGTATGGCAAACACTGACAAAATGTACAAATCTATGTTAAGGCATCACATACCAATCTTATAAGTTCTAAAAGTTAGAAGATTAAACACTTATCTGGTAGTATTCAGCTTTTTTTATGAATAAGACACCATGAATCATTCGAAACAAATTAGGTTCAATAACTGAATGGATATACAGTATAGTCAATATATATCATATACTAAGTAGGAAGTTTTCTTCACTTACCTATCACCATATTCAAAATATCATCATTTTCATCTAATAAAGGGTCCATGCAAACCATATCCAGTAGTTCCATTAGCTGCTTTTGAAGAGAATAGGCCTCCTTGAAAAGAGCCTGGAGAAGGTCTGAAACTAGGTGTAAATGCCCAGAATAGACAGATTCACTATCCTGATCACAAATAAAAATAAAAGAAACAGCAAATCATAAAAAGCTCAAGAGCCAAATTTACTTTAACGCATTTTATCACAGCTCATAATTTTAGTGCTTTTTATTGAATCATACATTTATTCATTAAACAAATGTTTAGTGACCATCCATTATAAATAGCGTGCTTCAAGAGATACAGACATGTATAACATAGGATTTCTTTTTTTTTTTTCTAAACATTTATTCACTTTTGAGAGAGTGCAAGCAGAGGAGGGGCAGAGAGAGAGGGAGACACAGAATCTGAAGCAGACTTCAAGCTCTGAGCCGTCAGCACAGACCCCAACGCAGGGCTCAAACTCATGGACCGTGAGATCATGATCTGAGCTGATGTTGGACACTGAACCAACTGAGCCACCAGGTACCCCTAAAATAGGATTTCTGATTTCCAAGAACTTGCAAATAAAAAACTACTAATAAAAGGGAGATACACGACATTCAGTCAGATGCAGACTTTTAGCACCCTGTCACCAAATAGAAGCATTAAACTAGTGATTTTTATTCACCCAATGTTACCAATATTCACCCAACGATACCAGTATCAAAACTGTCGGAAACCCACAAATCCTAGGCCAGCTTTTGTGCTTTAAAGCTGCCTGAGGAATGTAGTGATGGACTGAAAAAGGGCTGGTGTCCTTTATTACGTACCCAATCATTAAGGAATTCATCTAATCCACCAATGCCATGACAGTATAATTTCAGGATTCCTGTGATTCAACACAAATCTGCATCTATTCTTTCTTTATAGTAAGGAAATAGAATAAAACAACAAACATAAAACCACAAAAGCCAATTTTTAATCTCACTTCCTTATAACCACTTATTTTGAAACAAATATTTACATACAGGCATATTTCAGAAATATTGCAGGTTCAATTCCAGACCACTGCAATAAAATGAGTTTTTGGTTTCCCAGTGGATATAAAAGTTATGTTTACACTACATTCTAGTCTATTAAGTGTGCAATAGTATTATGTCTAAAAAAAAAAAAAAAAAAACCCCAATGTATGTACCTTAATCAAAAAATATTTATCGCTAGGGGCGCCTGGGTGGCTTAGTGGGTTAAGCGTCCGACTTTCGCTTAGGTCATGATCTCACGGTTTGTGGGTACGAGCCCCGCGTTGGGCTCTGTGCTGACTGCCAGCCTGGAGCCTGTTTCGGTCTGTGACTCTCTCTCTCTGACCCTCCCCTGCTCACACTGTCTCTCTCTCCTAGAAATAAATAAAAATATTTTTAAAATATATATATTTATCACTAAAAAATGCTAACCATCATCTGAGCTTTCAGCAAGTCATAATCACTAATCACACATCAACATATATAATGAAAACATTTGTAATAATATTGCAAAAATTACCAGAATGTGACACAGAGACACGAAGCAAGCAAATGTTAGAAAAATGGTACCAACAGACTTGCTGGACATAGGGTCATCGCAAGCCTTCAATTTGCGAAAACACACACTATCAGCAAAGTGCAATAAAATGAAGTGTGTCTGTTCATGGTTCTTTGTTCTATGGAGTTTATTCCAATAATATAGGCTAACATGTAAAATCCTATTTACAAACACTGTTTTCCTTAGCCCTTTTGCCTGTGGATTCTAGGCCATTTAAAGTATACTTAGACTCATTACTCACCTTACAATGTACAAATGTACTTTTGATTACATGTAGGACTGAGGAAGGAAGACTATGAATATTATCTAGAATGATGGACTCCTGTGTGGCACAAACATGCTGAACACATCCTGTAAGAGCTGCTAAGAGCTGCACCATTGTCTGGAAATATGGAAAGAGGTTTCATTCACAGTATGTTTTTGTGCACAAACATATAAAGGTATCAGACAATATGTTGGGTACTAGGGATACACCAGTGAACACAATGAACACTCTGCTTCTCCTTTTGCTGAACTTCAGTCTATGAATACTGGGACAACTGGCTAGCCATTTGGTTAAAAAAAAAAAAGTTGGAACCTAACCCACACATCCAAGCATATGACAGGTGTCCTCCATATATACTCTGAAATTACAGGTAGGGCATGCGATCTTATTTGTCATCTTATACAAGTTTGATGTTTACTCATCATGAAACTATTAAAAAATTCAAAAAAATTTTTTGCATTCATATCTTTAATTCTATAAATTTAATTCCAGCATTGGACCACTACACAAAGGATATATCACTAATTAATATCAGCATAAAAATTCTTACACTCTTTAAGTGTAATTTCTAATATATTTGACATACTTGTAAAATACTCCTTAGAGTGGTCTGGATTTCTAAATTATGGCTTGAGAGTCCTCTGGCTTGACTGGTTAACTCATACATCATGTCATCAAATAATTTCACAGTCTGTGAAAACAAAGCACATTATAAACAGGAGTAACAGAAAACACAAGAAACGGAAAGACGTTTTAAAAGTTAAAAAAATAAAACACAATTTTCACTACTAATAGCCATGGGATATGATCTAGCTTACCAACTGTACTTAACTAAAGTAAAAATATGTTTATATATATATATATATATAAAGTATTCATATAATACAATCTCTTTAAAAAAGCCTCAGACAAATTGATTTTCCATTTCTGTGGCTTGAATCTATTTAATAACATCCATTAAAAAAACCACTCAAGGGGCGCCTGGGTGGCTTAGTCGGTTAAGCGTCCGACTTTCGCTTGGGTCATGATCTCGCAGTTCGTGGGTTCGAGCCCCGCGTCGGGCTCTGTGCTGACTGCCAGCTCAGAGCCTGGAGCCTATTTCAGAGTCTGTATCTCCCTCTCTCTCTGACCCTCCCCTGCTCACGCTGTCTCCCTCTCTCCTAGAAATAAATTTAAAAAAATACATATTAAAAAAAAAAAAACCCACTCAAAGTTCAGTTTTTGGTTATTAACAAAGGTAAGTACTCCTCTACACAGTAAAACTTGATGGTCTTAACCAATCAACACTCATAGTGTATTTACAAGGGTTATTTTCTTTATTTTCTGGTAGTGATGATGAATTTGTGCTGAATTACCTATTCACTTGTATTCTAACCAGTTCTCCTTTTTGATCAACTCAAAATACCATTCCTGGGTTAGGACTATGGTACATGACCTCAGAACTATGTGTTTTTGTCTGTGAAAAGTCAGCTACCCTAAGATCTTAATACTCAGATTTTTCTAAACAATTTAAATGGCCTAAACATTGCAATAACAACAACACAATGAAATTAAAGAGGATATTATTTCCTAAAGGCAAGTTAACATCCAACATCGTTATTTTAATCTATATAACAGCTGGATCTTTTTCTGTGACCAAGAACAAATTCTAAGAAACTGTTAGATAGAGAACAATCAAGTGAATATGAATAATAGGAATTTTGATGATAATGTGCTTCAAAGCTAAATTTAGAAATTCATTCCAGTAAGAGATAAGGTACCATTCAAAAACTGTTTCATTTTCGATGCTCAGCATCCCTCCTCATCAGGGAAATACAAATCAAAACCACACTGAGATACCACCTCACGCCAGTCAGAGTGGCTAAAATGAGCAAATCAGAGAACTCGAGATGCTGGCGAGGATGTGGAGAAACGGGCACCCTCCTACACTGTTGGTGGGAATGTAAACTGGTACAGCCCCTCTGGAAAACAGTGTGGAGGTTCCTCAGGAAACTAACAATAGAACTCCCCTATGACCCAGCAATAGCACTGCTAGGAATTTACCCAAGGGATACAGAAATGCTGAGGCATAGGAGCACATGTACCCCAATGTTCATAGCAGCACTCTCCACAATAGCTAAAACATGGAAAGAGCCTAAGTGTCCATCAACAGATGAATGGATCAAGAAGATGTGGTTTATCTATACCATGGAATACTACATGGCAATGAGAAACAATGAAATCTGGCCATGTGTAGCAACATGGATGGACCTTGAGGGTGTTATGCTGAGCGAAATAAGTCAGGCAGAGAAGGACAAATATCATATGTTTGCACGTATAGGAGGATTAGGAGGAACTTGACGGAGGAACAAGGGGGAGAAGAAGGGTGGAAATGGTGGGGGAAAGGGAGAGAGGCAAACCATGAGAGACTCTTGAATGCTGACAAAAACTGAGTGTTATGTGGAAACTAATTTGACAATAAACTATTTGTAAAAAAAAAAAAAAACTGTTTCATTTTGGCAGCAAAATACCTTTAGTTCCCTAAATTTAAAAAAAAAAGAAAATTGCCTGTGCTTTTCAAAGAAAAAGTATACTATGTGCATATCTAAAAGGTAATAATGCAGATGGTGAGCTTAGTGTTCATTCTTGGTTATTCTAAGCCTTCCTTAATAAAACTGGGCTCCATTTTTCTAGACAATAAAACTTAACAATTATTAATAAACTCTATAGAGAAGATACTTCGTTAACTTCATCACTCATCTCAAATTTTCACTGAGTAGCTTTAAAATACAAGAGCATTTAAACTAGCTACAAATAATATAAATTCAATTAATAAAAGATCTATACTATTTGAAAATGTAATCGCTTTTTATCACCTAATGATCACACTAACACCATCATGTTCTCACGTGAGATCTATTTCTTACTACCTTATGTGTATTTCAAATATGTGTGACACATTTGGAAAAAAGGAACCACAGTTAAGAATAAATTATCTAAAACTGAGACTCGATTTAAATAGCCTTTATAACATGTAAACATTGATTAAAATAATAATAGTACTATACCTTTGGCAACACTTGTGAGAAGAAAGTCTGTTCCAAAGTCAGGTGGTTCATATGAGGTAAAAACATTTCCACAATAATTTTTAGAATTTCTGTAAAGCAAAACAGTAACATAATTGTAAGAAAACTAAGTCATCAGCCAACAAAGATCACTGCCCCTTCCCCAAATCCAAGAATATGTACTAACCTGGAACTCTGTGCAGTTTCAGAATGTCACATTCTATGTAGGAAACTATTAAGTATCGAAATAATAAAACAGAAACAAAAACTCAGGAAAATAAAAACCTGTATATCCAGTCATTGAGGACCACTTAATAGATGTGGGTACATCTAACTGAATGGGATTTGCTATCATTAAATTATAATAAATAAATAGATAAAACAAAACTATTATTAGAGATCATTTAAAACCATAAAAAAATTCACAATACTTTAAGGGTAGGTGAAAAGTTTCCCAAATATTATAATTCTAACCCTAATACATATAAACATGAATAACAGCCTGGGAAGAATATACGGAATCAAGATGAGAATGTTCTATGCCAAAATCTTATTAATCATTTCAAATTAATGGGTGTTCCATTATCTTTTCCGTTTTTCTGTACGTTTCAAATTTTCTACAATGAATATGTAGAGCTCTTACATTCGGGATAAAAAATAATTCTTACTTAAAAAACTTAAACCCAACAGACAACACAGATTGAAAATTATAAATATTCCACAACCAAGTGAAATGTAAATAAACTCAAAATTTATGAGTAAACTGTGAAGTTATTCATTCCTTCTCCCAACTAAATAAGTAAATAAGCCAAGTTAAGATGAAGAACAGAGAAGAAGATGAGAAAGTCACCCTGAAAGCAGACTGCAAATTATGTTTTGTGTAAGTCTAACCAGTGTAACAACTAACACTTAAATTTTACAATGTGCTTATATGTGCATTACCAACAGATTTGGTATCCACCCAAAAAGAATTTAAATAATTGGAAGGAATTTGGTCATTTTAAGTAACTGAAATTTACAGAGGCTGTAAGCACTACAAGAATACATTTGAAGGGAATCTAAAATTGTTAGAGATATATAGGACCCAGACCTTAATGACATCAAGGTAAATCAAACAAGATGATTTTACTTACGAATATGCTCGATCCAACTCTCAGAATGCTGATACATAGAGTAAAATATTAAGGAAGATGCTGTATCACAGTAATAGAATACTCACTACTAAGATCAATCTAAACAATCTTGAAGTTTAAACAATGATCAGTAAGAAACTGAAATTAGACTCAAACTACTGGCTTACCTTTGCTTTTAAAAATGTAATGTTATCAGGTAAACAAACTATAATATAATGAAAATACCCAAGGAAATATTTTCAAAATTGCTCAGGGATAAAACTGTCTTTTCCAACTATGTGTAGTCAACATACTTTTGACAGATGAGGAACAGTAGTATTATAATCCAGGGGTTTCTGGTTTCCAACACAGGAAAGAAGTTTCTTCCTCCTGAGCACCTCTCCAGTACTTTATTTACACCTGTCTAAAGCCACTCAACACCTTCTATCTTCTTTTCACATTACTTATGGACCTGTCTTACCAATCTTATCAGACTGAGATTCTTTAGCACATAGCAGATGCTTACAAAATATGTGACCAAAAATTATCCTATGTTCATTATAAAAGTTAACAGTAATCGTAAACTGTACACTTGTCTACCATCAAGAATCGTCAGAAATGTTTCACTGCATAATAAAAATTAAAGAATGTGTCAGCAAGAAAAATGAATAAACTATAATCCCATCACACTAATACCAGAATGGATCCTTCTGACATCTTACTTGGCGTATATGAATTTTACAGCTGCAATCAAAATGAGGCATAACTCATTTTAAATCTTTCTTTAATCTATTTGTTTTGAAAGAGAGCAAGCGGGGGGGTGGGGGGGGACAGAGAGAGAGGGAGACAGAGAATCCAAGCAGGCACTGTCAGCGCAGCCTGATGTGGGGCTCAAATTCACAAACCACGAGATCATGACCTGAGCTGAAACCAAGAGTCAGATGCTCAACTAACTGAGCCCCCACCCCCCACCCCCCACCCCAAGCGCTCTCTAACTCATTTTAGCTCAGTAGGGTTGAATCTGTTTTATGGAAAAATTTCAGCAAAGGTCAGAAAGTTCTAGCCTCTTCCAAAATTAACCATAAGTTATGATTACCTGGACATGCAGGTAAACACTGGAAAATAATAATGTAAAATGCAAAACATGAAAATAATTAGGTATGGGTGATGGGACTATAGATTAAAAACAACTTTCATTTGCTGAACAGTACTGAAAATTGAAGGAAGAACAGCTTTGGGTTCTTTTGAATGCTAAGTTTGAGATGCAAAACCAAGTGGGAATGCTGACTTTCAACTACTGATATCATCCATAAACTTGAGGGGGAAAAGAAGGGCCCTGTTCCTTATCTTTGTTCCCCCAAAGCATTACCCCTGGCTGGTAGGTATTATGTGCCCAGTACATGTTCTGGGGGATGGCTGTGTTTCCCAAGACAAAATCATTGAGGACCACAATGCACAATGACTAAGAAAGGGCTTTGGTACCTAAGTGGGATTTTGCCATTGCCTATGTGAACGACTTCTACGTAATGGTAACACATTATATTTGGACTTAGCTGTAAAAAATTGAGACTCTCTAAAGTGACAGTCATTTTTTTCATTTAAGTATGGCTTTATGTTGAAAGTGGACTCAAAGATGTTTAAAAAACTTACCCTTTAACATGGAAGGGTAGGATTCCAGGCGCATTTACAACCAACCACAGGGCGACTACAAAACAGTACGCCCCTGGACAACGGAGACATTTAATTCAAACCCAGCAGGTGAAAGCCAATTACAAAACGAAGCAGCTCCTTCTAACCAGCAAAATTGGAACAGAGTTCTGAGAAGAGGAGTAACATTTTTAATGACTGGAACTTTTTTACAGACTTGACACCATGGCCGAACCTACATCCTTTCATTCTAATACTGAGGAAGGTATTCCGATTCCCCACCCATTTAAGACACAGGAGATCAGAATATCTTCTGGGGCGCCTGGGTGGCTTAGTCGGTTAAGCGTCCGACTTTCGCTAAAGTCATGATCTCGCGGTTCGTGGGTTCGAGCCCCGCGTCGGGCTCTGTGCTGACTGCCAGCTCAGAGCCTGGAGCCTGTTTCGGTCTGTGACTCCCTCTCTCTCTCTGACCCTCCCCTGCTCACGCTGTCTCTCTCTCTCCTAGAAATAAATAAAACATTTAAAAAAAAAAAAAAAAGAATATCTTCCTCTTCACCGCATCCAGCTATTAGGAGTCAGAGCTCACTTTACAGCTCAGGTCCGAGCACCTGCCTCCCCCGCTACCCCAAGGGAAGGTATTTACATTTAACTGCACGTGCCGAGTACAGAAAAACCCAAAGGCACGGAAAAAAAACCCTCCACGTCCACTGCAAAAATCATACGTGGAACACCACTGCGAGCCCTTCCAGTGCCGAGGGAGGCGTGCCTTTGGTCAGGGCAGCCATGGTCCTCGCTCGCCCTATTTTTCCCTCCTTTACTCCTGTCTCTCACCAACGAGGAAGGGAGAGGGTTCAGGCCACAGGAACACAACACGGCCCGGCGGCGAATGTGACGAGGCCGCAGAAAGGCTGCCCCACACCCCGCTCCAGGTGGTGACAAAGAAGGATATAAGGAGCCGGGGCAGGACAGACGGCAGTTCCCGGCGGCATAGCTCCTCCGACCAGCTACGTAATTCTTCCAGGGGAACGGCGCTCGCCGGCACCGCGCGTTCCTGAGACATCTTTCTCCCAGGAGCGCAGCTTCAAACCAGTCCCGCCAAGCCCCAAGACCGGAAACTCCCGCCGTCCCGGCAGGCCTTGCGAGCTCTCCGCTGGCACCAGTACCATAGAGAGGAGGCGGGCTGCGTTCCTCGGTGAGCTCCGGCGGCGCGCGGCGGGGGAGAGAGCCGGGTTTGTCTGGCCGGCGGAGGACCCGACTCACAGGTACCCGCTTTCCGACCCTAGTGTCTGGCGTGGCGCCCGCTTTCTCAGCGCGGCCAGCGGGCCCTTCCAGGGCTGCGAGCCTTGTCAGGTCTGGATGCCGGAAACGTTGCACTGTAGCACTTTGGGGAGGTGGGGGCAGAAGTCCCCAGATTTGGTCCCGTGTGTCCCGTGGGGGCTTGGAGACTGCACACCTGCGGTCGGGGTGGACGTGGGACCTCCAGTCAGAAATGAATCCAAGCCCCAGGGGGCGGTGGGTCAGAAATAGGCACCTTTTTACCCACTTCACTGGGCAACCCGACTTTATTTACATCTTGGGTTAGGGGAATACAGACCCCGCCTGCCAGGGTTGTGCAAATTGAAGCGGATGACGTTATCAAGTATCTAGCACGGTAAATGCTGTGAAGAGTCTCAGTAAGTTGCTTCCACTTTTCTAGGGGCCTCTTCAGTCCCTACCCTTACTTTGTGCTTCGCTAACACCAAACTCATCTTTACTAAGCACTCCAGCATTCTACTCCCATACACCCAGGGCTGCTGGTCTTCACTAAGTGTTTGTAGGTGAGCTCATTTGGATGAATTTACACACGCGAGAGCATACCTGTGCGTGTTTTTAAAGGGATGCTCATTTGCCAAAGTAAAATCTTGAAGACCTGTTGCTTGAAACAGTTACAGACTGAAGTGGAGAGTTTCTGGCGGTTTAGGAGATAAACATGTTCGGGCAGGATCATGATAAGTGAAAGGCTAAGTCAGGGGTGTCGTTTCCTGCCTGAGACTTTTGGACTTAATGTTTTTTATTTCCTAATTGTTCTATTGTCCCTTTGTTTGTTTTTACAGTTTATCCTCTTCTACATTTTTTTGAACCCTGAAGGGTGTGTGTCTGTGTTTCCAAATCTCTTTTTTATTTTATTTTTTGGGGAGAGACAGAGCTCAAGCCAGGCAGGGGCAGAGAGAGAGAGGGAGACACAGAATCTGAAGGAGGTTCCAAGCTGTCAGCACAGAGCCCCCCACGCAGGGCTCGAATTCAGGAAGGGTGAGATCATTACCTGAGCTGAAGTCCCTCCTTAACCGACTGAGCCACCCAGGCACCCCTGTGTTTCCAAATCACTTTTTCTCCCTCACCCATCACAGCTTTTACAGAAAAAGCAGCTGTTTGGTGGAGAGGGGGGCTGTTGAATGTTAAATTTTAGTGAAATATGGCATTTTACCTTTTCTTAACCTTTTTATTTTGTTTACTTTAACGTAAACAAGCTCAGTGTGGGGTTTGAACCCAGGATCCCAATATCAAGAGTCACATGCTCTATGGACTGAGCCAGCCAGGCATCCCTCATTTTATTTTTTTAATAACAGTTTTCTTTTTTTCTGCAGAGCTAATTCAAAAGAAGAGGAGAGACCTCTAAGAAGTCATTTGGAAATACCTGTAAATATTTGTAACTGTGTATAAGCAGCAAAAGGAAAATTAACCCTCAAAAAACCTCATTGAATAATTGAGGCAGGTTTATGTATGTGTTGTTAGTTCTATCCAGAAGCTGAAGAATCTTCCTTTGAATTTAAGGATTGTGTACAGTTAATGAGAAAATGACTTTTCAATTTAATTTCACTATAGAAGACCATCTGGAAAGTGAATTAACACCCCTTGGAGATGGAGCGTTGCGCCTGGATTCCTCCAAAGAGTCTTCGGTCTCAGAAAGTGAAAAAGGTAAACATAGGGACAAAAAAGGTTCTACAGAACAGCTTGACTTGCCTCAAGATCACTTTTTGGAAAATGAGCCAGTGGGAAATGCAGCTCCTTCTCAAGACACAAAGAACTCACTCAGTGCAGCTAACAGTTCAGGTAACTTGGAGCCACGTGAAAAACATCCCTGCATGAGACTCACCAAAGAGCATGCTGTGCCCAAAGATTGCCAGAAAGTGTTAGAAAATAAAGTCATAGAAATGTTATCGGGTCCCCAGCATGTTAATGTATCAGTAGTGAAAACCGTCTTTTTGAAAGAGAACTTCCCTGGAGAAAACATAGTTTCACAAAGCTGTTCTTCGCACTCTGATCTGATTGCAGGTGTTTACGAAGGAGGCTTAAAAATCTGGGAATGTACCTTTGACCTGCTGGCTTATTTCACAAAGGCCCAAGTGAAATTTTCTGGGAAAAAAGTGTTGGATCTTGGCTGTGGATCAGGGTTGCTGGGCATAAGTGCACTCAAGGGAGGGGCCAAAGAAATTCATTTTCAAGATTATAACAGTATGGTGATTGATGAAGTAACCTTACCCAACGTAGTTGCTAACTCTGCTTTGGAAGATGAAGGAAATGATATCAGTGAACCAGATGTGAAAAGATGCAGGAAATCAAAAATAGCACAAGAATTATGTAAATGCCGGTTCTTTTCGGGGGAGTGGTCTGAGTTTTGTAAACTTGTACTAAGTAGTGAAGAATTCTTTGAAAAATATGATCTCATTCTCACCTCAGAAACCATTTACAACCCAGATTATTATGGTACATTGCACCAGACATTCCTCAGATTGTTAGATAAAAATGGACGGGTGCTTTTGGCCAGCAAAGCACATTATTTTGGTGTAGGTGGAGGTATTCATCTCTTTCAGAAATTTGTAGAAGAAAGGAATGTATTTGAGACTAGAACACTCGAAATAATTGAAGAAGGACTAAAGAGATACCTAATTGAAATAACTTTTAAGTAACCCAGTTAATATCCACTGAATGTCCTAAGTAAATTAAAGAGAATAATCAAAAACTTTCTTGAATGTTTGATTTCTGCTTTGCTATTATTTTTTCTAAAAGTATAATATTTGTTTGCTTATCCAAATAATATACCAGCTATATACTAACTACACTCACTAAGTGAAACAAGAAATAGTGTCCTGAGCATTTGACGAGATCTAGGAGATTATTTTGTGGGAAAATTTTCTGTTCCCACCTTCATTCTATTTGAACTTTCTACCACCTTTCACATTACATACATTTGTTCTTGGAGAAAACTGACACTTCTTATTTCAAGTTTGAATTTCTTCCCAGGCGTCATTAGTGTCTGTTTCCATGAAGTGCCTGGTCAGATCACCATGCCTTTCATTCTAAGGGCATACATACACATCACTAAATTCTAGTGGACCTAAATATTAGATTGAAGGCCTTAGGTAACTAGGAAGAAGTTTTTGTTTTGTTTTATTTTTGTATTCATTTATCTCATATAACAAGAGTAACAATGCTGAGCAGTTGAATTTACGCTAATGTGGAGGAAATAAAGGGGAATCATGGTAGTATAAAAGTGATACAGAAAACTAAAAAAAAATTAAAAACACAAAAATCACAAGTTGATAACCAAAATTTTCACCTTAAGAAACCAGAAAGGGGCGCTTGGGTGGCTTAGTCGGTTAAGCGTCCGACTTTCGCTTAGGTCATGATCTCGCGGTTCGTGGGTTCGAGCCCCGCGTCGGGCTCTGTGCTGACTGCCAGCTCAGAGCCTGGAGCCTGTTTCAGTCTGTGACTCCCTCTCTCTCTGACCCTCCCCTGTTCATGCTGTCTCTCTCTCTCCTAGAAATAAATAAAACGTTTAAAAAAAAATCCATAATTAAGGGACATTACTAATGACCTTCTAGAAATGAAATAGTTTTTAAAGAAATTACACAAGATCTAACTGAAAAAAAAACACTGTGTTCAGGGTTGGGAGACATACTATTGTTAATTCCCCAAATTGATCAATACAATTCAATATAATCACTAACAAACACTCACCAACACACTTACCACCTTTTGTTATCTCTTGTCTTTTTCATGATAGCCACTCTAACATGTGAGCATCCATACATTTGCAAAGTATCTTACAACCTTAAAAGGCATAAAAATACATATTGAAATATACTGAACTTAGAGGGGTACCTGGGTGGTTCAGTTGGTTAAGTGTCCAACTTCAGCTCAGGTCATGATCTCACAGTTTGTGAGTTCAAGCCCCACATCCCGCTCTCTGTTGTCAGCACTGAGCCCACTTCAGATCCTCTGTCCCCCTCTGTCTCTACCTCTTCCCCCCTTGCTCTCTCGCTCTCTCTCAAAAATAAATAAACATTAAAAAAAGAGATATATTGAACTTGGAATTAGGCCTTTGTATCTCTGTATCACAGTGTTAAAGCAAGATTTTGAAAATCAAACTTTTTAATTTTGATAACTATGTATCCATATGCAAGAAATACATGTGAAAAATAATACAAAGAGATCTTGTAGAACCTTCACCTGTTCACCAATTTTCTCCCAGTAGTAACATCTTGCAAAACTATAGTACAATATTGAAACTAGAAAATTGATATTGATATTGTCAAGATATAAAGGAGTATCATCACCACAGAGATACCTTCTGTTTGCCCTTTCTAAGCCACACCCACTTTCCTCTCTGGTTCCTTCAACTTCTTGAAACCACTGACCTCTTGTCCATCTGTGTAACTTGTCATTTAAATAATGTCATGCAAATAGAACCACACAGTATGTAACCTTTTAGAACTGGCTTTATTTCAACCAATATAATACTCTATAGATTCATGCAGGCCATTGCATGCATCAATAATTTGTTCCTTTCTTTTCCTTTTTGTTGTTGAATAGTGTTTAAAAAAAAAAAAACCTTATAATGCTTATGATTAACCCATTATAGCCAAATAAGCAGGAGACCCTAGGGAAAAAGACTAGCAAAGGAAATCCCCAGATTCTGGGGAGCATAGTCTCCTTACTTGTTAAATAGGAAAGAAGAGAGAAACATGTTTTGTTTCTAGTGTGAAAATTTTCATATTTGACATTCCTGAAGTTGGGATCTGCCTTCCTATCTATAACTATACCATAATTGGATTTTTTTTTTCCTTAGAGGTACCTAAAATAACACTACAACTTGGATTCAATGAAGCCTGATATTTACTGGACATCAGATAGGCACTTTATATAGCATCTTGCTTCATATAAAGTGTTGTATCCTTGCTTCCTTGTAAAGTGTATTATCATCCCCAGTTTGGTAAGATCATAAGAGCGAACAGTTTTCAGCACTTACTGTAGGCTGAGCTGAAGAGCTTTACATAGACCAACACTTAGTATTCATAAAGTCCTTGAATTAGGTTATAATTACTATCTGCATTTTATAAAGAAATCAAGACTCAAGGAAGTAGGTGATTTGATCCCAATTATACCTCACCTTGAACCAGAATCTGAACTTAAATCTTTTTATTTTTATTTATTTATTTTTTTTGAAAGAGCTAGAGACAGCACAAGCAAGGGAGGGGCAGAGAGAGAGGGAGAGAGAGAATCTTAAGCAGGTTCCATGCTCAGCACAGAGCCCAACTGGGAGCTCGATCTCACAACCCTGAGATCATGACCTGAGCTGAAATCAAGAGTTTGTCACTCAACCAACTAAGCCACCCAGGCACCCCCAAACTAAAATCTTCTTCAAAGCTTTTCTCTTGTCCCCAACCCAGTGCTCTTAACCTTCCCAATGTCTGTTTTTCATTACAAATATTCCTTAGCACCCTTGTATTATTCTGAAACAGAAGTCATAGTTAAAGAAACACATTACACACATCATGAAAAATTAAGACTCTCAAATACAGAGAATAAACAGGGTTGCTGGAAGACTGTTGGATGGGGGATGGGCTAGATGGCTGATGGGCATTAAGGAGGGCATTAAGGATGAGCACTGGGTGTCATATGTAAGAGCTGAATCACTGAATCTACTCCTGAAACCAATACTACACTATATGTTACCTAACTTGAATGTATATAAATAAATAAACAAACAAATAAATTGTATGTAAATCACTACGTATATGTAATCATATGTCTATCATATATATATATATACATATGTATGTATATAAAACAATAGTGAAGGAAGTCATAAATGATTTTTATCTTACCAGGTCAATGCACAGGTGTAGTGACAGAGAAGACATGTAGTAGACATTATCTTCTACTACAGAAGTACCATTGTAGTAGACAATGGTACTGGTGCCTAGGGTACCATTACTGTAAATACCACAACAAAAAGACTTAAGATATGGGTTATGGCTACAAATCCAGGAGAAGGATGCATAATAAACTTTCTCATGTAAATAGTTTAACTTAACCGTTTAAAGAGGAATATATGTTAAACCAATGAGTTTTGGAGTCCAATACCTTGGGCTAAAATTCAGTTTCCCCATCTGTAAAACAGGGTTTATAACAGTGTCTCCCTAACAGAGTTCTTTTTAAAAACAACAGTTAATATTGAGCCCTTATCGTGGTTCCTTCCAAATGGTTCCTTTGTATAAATGGAGACCATTATTTCCAAGAATTCTCATAATATTTAGTCATCCTGTTTTCTCAAATATGAGGCCTTGTTCTTTTTTTTAAACTGAGTTTGTGCCTTTACAGTTTACAAATCCCAGTTCAGAACTTGGAGAAACAAGAAAACTCCAGACCTTACACTGCCCAGCTCCAACCTCCATTCCCTCCCTTTACCCCCTCACTCCCTTCACCTCGCAGTTTCCAAGTTCCTGTCTTTGGATGCTTTGGCACTACAGATCTTTAAGGATAAAGAAAAATACATTTTGTACAGTTGTTTCTAAAAACTCAGATCCACATAATTTGTGTCTGCCTTTAAATTTCCCATTTCTCAGATGTGCCTGGATCCTCAGCTCCATTCCTATAATGGCACAGATGGCTTTCAGCCCATGCTCAGAATCTGAAATGTTTGAACTGGCGGTTAGTATTACAGGGGCAAGTATTCCCATTTAACCCCCCACACCCACCCCTGCTTCACTGCACACCGCAGCGCTCTGGGCATCAAAGGGGCATTGCAGTCAGGTGGCTACTAAAACCCGACCCTATTGCCCTACCGCACAATTCTGGAAACCTAATATCTCCAGCTAGCCGAAAAGGGCAATAGCTCTAGCAGTGGGCATCTCCATCAGGCTCCCACCAGGGAGGGACAACTCCTGCTCCCAATATAATAGATATTCATCATTCAGCCATCTCTCAATCTGAGGCTATAAGAACAAGTCACATGCCTTAGAACAAGACAATAAACTCACTGCTCTGAGAAATTTACTTAGTCAACGAGATACATAGAAAAAAATATTATCCTCATTCTGTTTGTGGAAATCTGAGGCAGGAAAGGTCTAGGCTCATTCAAATTCTTTATTTGTGTCTAAAATGTCCTAGAACTTGGGGCGCCTGGGTGGCTCAGTTGATTAAGCGTCTGACTTCAGCTCAGGTCATGATCTCACCATTGGTGAGTTGGAGCCCTGTATGCTGACAGATCAGAGCCTGGAGCCTGCCTCTGATCTGTGTCTCCCTCTCTCTCTGCCCCTCCCCCTCTCACCCTCTGTCTCCCTCTCTCAAAAACAAAATAATAAACATTTTAAAAAGTAAAAAATAAAATAAAATGTCCTAGAACTCAAAATTCTTCTAGGTCCCTGCTAGCCTATGCTAAATAACTTCTGGCGGATTTCTCTCAACTTGATTCTGAACTTGTTTTAAATAGCATGAAGAAGACTGTTCAGGGTAGGGGGCATTTTTTGGGAGAATTTGTGCGAAAAGATAGAATAAAGCCTACAAACTCAAAACATACCCAGTTGGTCACTGGCACACCACATTCTCATTAACCCATCCCTATGCCAGCTTTTTTTTTTTTTTTTTTTTTTTTTTTTTTCNTTTTTTTTTTTTTTTTTTTTTTTTTTTTTACCCAGCCTCTGTGTTTTAAGAATCTTCAGATGGAGTCGCATTTTCAGTG